TAGAATTGTTGCCAGTTGTGAGGCCGCCCTGAGTCCTTTTCAGGGTGAAAAGGGCAGGGTATAAGTATAGGAAATAATAAATAATAAATATTTTGAAACATGTTTGCCATGAGTCGGGAAGAATTTGTGTTTGCCAAAAAAATCATATTTTGTAAATAAAGGTATATTTAGTTACTATTTCCCATCTTCTGGAAACTTTTAGATTCTGCTTTTATTTATTATTTATTTATTGATTGATTTAGAACTTTTATATACCGGTCTTCTCACCTCCAACGGGGGACTCAGGCCGGTTTACAACAAGGGGGTTCATACACAATAGTTTAAAAACATCACATGAATAATACACTAATATAAACACATTAAAGTACTATCATATAATTATATAAAGCCATGTCGTTAGCATAAAAATCACTATTCATCCCCATCCGCCCGTGTGGTCAAAAGCCATTGCCTCACTCATCAAATTCCAGATTCCAAAGCCAGGTTTTCACCAACTTTCTAAAGGTCAGGAGAGAAGGGGCAGTTCTAATCTCCAATGGGAGAGTGTTCCAGAGCCGAGGGGCCACCACCGAGAAGGCCCTGTCACTCGTCCCCACCAGACGCGATTGCGAAGATGGTGGGACCAAGAGCAGGGCCCCTCCAGAAGATCTTAACAACCTTGATGGTTCATAGGGGAGAATCCGTTCGGACAGGTAAACTGGGCCGGAGTTAGGGATTTATAGGTCAACACCAGCACTTTGAATTGTGCTCGGAAGCTAATTGGCAGCCAGTGGAGCTGGCGCAACAGAGGAGTAGTATGCTCCCTGTACCCCGCTCCTGTTAGTAATCTGGCTGCCGCTCGTTGGACTAATTGCAGCTTCCGGGCAGTCTTCAGAGGCAACCCCACGTAGAGAGCGTGATTGAGGTTGGATTGACCCTGCCATGTAATTGCAGTTTAGAACTGCATTATATAATTAGTATAGACCCATAAAATGCAGTTCAATGTGCCTCAAACTGATTAAACAGAGGGCCAGGTCACAATCCCTCAAACTGTTGGAGGGCCGGATTATAATTTGAAAAAAACATGAATGAATTCCTATGCAGACTGCACATATCTTATTTGTAGTGAAAAAACACTTTAAAACAATATAATAATTAAAATGAAGAACAATTTTAACAAATATAAACTGATTAGTATTTCAATGGGAAGTGTGAGCCTGCTTTTGGATGGTGGGATAAGATTGTTGTTGTTGTGTGCTTTCAAGTCATTTCAGACTTAGGTTGACCCTGAGCAAGGGCTGGGTAGAAGACCTTGGAGAGCCGTATCTGGCCCCCAGGCCTTAGTTTGAGGACCTCTGCACTAAAATGACATCACAGTCTCAACTACTTATGCTGCCCTGAAGCCAGTTTGAAATGGGTCAAGGAAGTGTGTGTCATCCAAGGCCCCCTGGAGTTGGAGGGCATCTGCCTTCTCAATCACCCTGTCCAAAAAAGGAAGGATGGACACTGATCTGTAATTGTTAAGGTCCAGGGGATCCAGGGAGGGCTTTTTCAAAAACACCTAACTAAGTGATTCTCAACTTGTGGGCCCCCAGATGTTTTGACCTTCAGCTCCCAGAAATCCTAACAGCTGGTAAACTGGCTGAGATTTCTGGAAGTTGTAGGCCAAAACTGTTAGCGTTAGCAGAAGTTTTGCACAGGCTTAGAAGAAAACATGGACTCTAGAGACGTCTGGTTACAAAGCAGGTTCAATTTACTTAGAGCAGTTCCAAAACACATCCATTACAGTAAGCAACCAGACATGAAGTACATAGTACGCAGGACAAAGGAAGTAGAAATGTAAATAATTCTGCAGCTGCTTGGCAGATACCAGATACTCCCTAATTTTCTCACAACTTCACACAGAGAGTATCTCAGAGTTACTTTCTCACAGCCTCTAACATAAACATGAATCACAGCAATACAATCTTTTGCATCCATATTTCTACTGCATGAAATTACATTTAAAACACATTACATACTTCAACATATAGTGACAAAAACACCTGGGGACCTACAGGTTGAGAACCACTGGTCTACCTACTGCTTCTTTGAAACAGGATGGAAAGTTTCCCTCCCTGAGAGATGCATTAATAATGTGCTGTATTTGAGAATTGCATCTCCTCCCTGGAGATAACTCTTTCAGGAGTGAATTTCCCTTCCAAGGGGTAGATTTCTCTCACGGCCTGTGTTAACCCTTCCCTATGCTATCCAAAATGAAAATATATATGCATTTGGCTGGAGCTACACTTTTTTTTAAAGTACTGGTTTCGACTCCATCAGGAGTGAATTTCCCTTCTGCGGGGTGGGTTCCTCTCACTAGGAGTCTTTTATAAGTTTTTAAACCGCATATAGATCTGGCATGGGCCAACTTGGTCCCTCCACAGTTTCTAACAGCCAGGCCATTAGGAATTGTGGGAGTTGCAGCCCAAAACACCTGGGGGGACTAATTTGGTCCATGCCTGGGATAGGAGGAAAGTAGTGGTGTTTCTTTTCCCTGATATTTTGATGCTGGAATTGAGGGCAGGGCCTCCCCAGAATACCTTAATCTCCGAGGTGGTTCATAGGGGGAGATATTTTTGGACAGGTAAACAGGGCTAGAACCATTTAGGGCTATATAGGTTAAAGTCAGCACTTTGAATTGTGCTTGGTAGCAAACTGACAGCCAGTGGACCTGGTGTAGAAGAGGAGTTGTATGCTCTCTGTATACCACTCCGGTGAACAACCCGGCTGCCGCCCTTAGGACCAATTGAAGCTTCCGAACAGTCTTCAAAAGCAACCTGACCTAGAGCGTGTCACAGTAATCTATACAGGATGCAACCAGACTGTGAACAAGTCTGACTTTCCAAGGTACAGACGCAACTGGCGCACAAGTTTTAGTTGTGCAAAAGCGCCCCTGTCTCTTGTCCCCCTCAGTCATGCCTGCAAAGGAAGCGGTACCAAGAGCAGGGCCTTCCCAGAAGATCTTAATCTCCGACATGGTTCATAGGGGGAGATCTGTTCAGACAGGTAAGCTGGACCGGAACCGTTTAGGGCAGTAGTTCTCAACCTGTGCGTCCCGATGTTTTGGCCTTCAACTCCCAGAAATCCTAACAAGCTGGGAAACAGGCTGGGATTTCTGGGAGTTGTAGGTCAAAACACCTGGGGACCCATAGGTTGAGAACCACTGGTTTAGGGCTTTATAGGCTGAAGCCAGCATTTTGAATTCTGCTCGGTAGCAAACCAGCAGCCAGTGGAGCTGATGTAACAGGGGAGTTGTACGCTCCCTGTACACAACTCCAGTGAGGAATCTGAGTGCCGCACATTGAACCATTTGAAGCTTCTGAACAGCCTCAAAGGCAACTCCACATACAGCATGTTGCAGTAGTCTATGCAGGATGTAACAAGAGTGTGTACCACTATGACCAAATCTGACTTCACAAGGTATGGGAAAAAGCTACCCTGTCCACCGCCAAAACCTGGTATTCCAGGCCCAGCGATGAGTCCAGGATCACTCCCAAACTGCAAACCTGTGCCTTCAGGTTTGCACTTTGGGATTGTGGCATCGAATTGTGCTGGTTTTGTAAACCGCCCTGAGTTGCCCTCAGGCTGAGAAGGGTGGTATAGAAATATAGTAAATAAATAAAATAAATAAATTCAGGGGGAGTGTAACCCCATCCAGCACCGGCTGTAACCCTTATGTATAAGATCAATGAACTTTTAGTTACAATCAATTAATTTTTATTATGTTTAAACTATAGAACAGCCGGAGGAACTAGGGGGAAACACTTATATGCTGGATCATACTGAAATATAAATATTGAAGAGTATTCCTGTACCTATGTATTTAATAATAATAATAATAATAATAATAATAACACTTTATTTGTACCCCGCTACCATCTCCCCGAGGGACTCGGTGCAGCTTATATGAGGCCGAGCCCAAATACAACAATACAAGCGATAATAACAACAATACAAGCAATTAAAATAAAAAACATAGACAATAAAATATGCAACAATTAACAGTAAGACAACACACAATTAAAAACAGTTAAAACTGGAAATGATGCCGGGACATGGGCGAAAAGGTGAAAGTGGCATTTGTGCAAAACGTACAAGCAGACCTAATATGTAAAGTGCTTTGGAGGACAAAGTGCTATGGGATCATTATTCTGGGAAGACACATTGGAACAACCACGTCTTCAAGCTCCTCCTAAAGACTGCCAGAGTTGGGGCATGCCTGATGTCCTTACGGAGTGAATTCCAGAGTCAAGGGGCCACCACCGAAAAGGCCCTCTCTCTCGTCCCAACCAATCGTGCCTGCGATGCAGGTGGGATCGAGAGCGGGGTCTCTCCAGATGATCGAAGAGATCATGTGGGTTCGTATACGTTATTATTATTATTATTATTATTATTATTATTATTGTGTATTTGAATAAATGCAAATTGTTGTACATGGAAAAAATAAAACATTCCCTGGGGGGAGGCAAAAAACAAAACAAAAATACATCAATATAAACTATATAATAATTAGGCATATAAAACATAATACCTATAGACATCAAAATAGTTAAACCTCCAATTACCTGTTCTTGTTAGTATGAGCTAACATTTAAGGCACCAAATCATATCCATATACACCAAACCAAGGCTTCAAGCCTGCTGAGTGACCTTGGGCGGCTCATACTCTCTCAGCCTGATTCGAGGCTGTTCTTGTATGGCAGGTATAGGCAAACTTAGTCCCTCCAGGTGTTTTGGACTACAACTCCCACAATTCCTAACAGCCTACCGGCTGTTAGGAATTGTGGGAGTTGTAGTCCAAAACACCTGGAGGGTCCAAGTTTGCCAATACCTATTCTAAGGCTTTCTCCTTGAGGTTAGGCCTCAAAAGGCCTTTCTTGGCCTAATTTGTTCAGAGAGAGCGAGGCCTTTGTCTCCCTCTCTCACCTCCTTCCCTTCTTTTTCCTGCCTCTAAACCATTCCCTATTATATACACCAACCTGTCTTTTTCCCCCTTCCTTCACTTCCAGGAGCCGCCCATGATCCGCTCAGCGAGGATCCCTTCTAATGGTGTCCGCCTCTCGCCTTCCTGTGCTGTGTTCTCCAAGGCGGAAGTGCGTTTCTTCCTCCCGCTTCCGGTCATGCGCAGTCCCGCGGGCGAAGCCAAGCCAGCCTCCTGGCAAAGGGGAGGATACAACAGCAGAGAAGGAAAGCCATGCAGAGCCAGTGCTTAGGAAGGAAGAGACATCCTTTGCTGCCTGTTCCCCACTCTTTGTCTTTAAGGTCTTGAAAGATAGAGTGTTTTTAATAATAAGTGGTATTTTTTAATGATTGTGGTTTTTAATTATAGTTGTCCTTTGGCAGAGTAAAAGTAATGATTTATATAATCTATATAAATAAAAATGTAATGTTAGTTAGTGCTACCATCAGAACTCAAAAACCACTGGGGGAATTGACACCAAATTTGGACACAAGACCCCTAACAGTCCAATTTATGTCCTCCACTCAAAAAACATTGATTTTGTCATTTGGGAATTGTCATTGCTGGGATTTATAGTTTACCTACAATCAAAGAGCATTCTGAACTCCACCAATGATGGAATTGGACCAAACTTAACACACAGGGCTCCCATGACCAACAGAAAAAACTGGAAAGGTTTGGTGGACATTGACCTTGAGTTTGGGAATTATAGTTCACCCACATCCAGAGAGCACTGTGGACTCAAACAATGATGGATCTGGACCAAACTTGACACAAATATTCCATATGCTCAAATATGAACACAGATGGGGTTTGGAGGAAATAGACCTTGATATTTGGGATTTGTACTTACTGAGATTTATAGTTCACCTACAATCAAAGAGCATTCTGAACTCCACCAATGATGGAATTCAACCAAACATGGCATACAGGACTTCTATGACCAACAGAACACACTAGAAGGGTTTGGTGGGCATTGACCTTCAGTTTGGAAGTTGTAGTTCACCTACATTCAGAGAGTACTGTGGACTCAAACAATGATGGATCTGGACCAAACTTGGCATGAATATTCCATATGCCCAAATATGAACACAGATGGAGTTTGGAGGAAATAGACCTTGACATTTGGGATTTGTACTTACTGGGATTTATAGTTCACCTACAATCAAAGAGCATTCTGAAACCCACAAACGACAGAAATGGGGCAAACTTCCCATACAGAACCCCCATGACCAACAGAAAATACTTAAGGCCATCCAGTCCAACTCTCTTCACCAGGGCAAGAAAATGTAATCAGAGCCCTCCTGACAAAGAGCCATCCAGTCATAAATATAGATAGATAGATATGATTCTCACACACAGAGATATAGTATCATAGATTTGAAAGAGTGTCAGAACCCAGATGCCTTAAAGAGCCAGACACAGGAGTATGTCCAAAACAATAGTTTATTAAAGCAAAGTAAACAAGACTCAGAGACATTTGCTTCAGTGCCTCTGGTCAAAACTCAAAGTTTGAAGCAATTTCAAGTTTGAAAAACAAACTTAGAAAATAATCTGGATTAAACTGGCAAAAAACCCGGATTAAACAAGAGTTCTTCCAAAACACACCAAAATCACACAGTTCAAGGAGAACAAACTAAAGAGCCGTGAAGAGAAGCTGTTGTCCAGTAGCAGTCCAAAGTCGAAGAAATCCCAGTTGAAGGTTCCAAAGTCCACAAGGCAGCATCGTCAAAAGCAGTCCAAAGTCAAGGAGAAGGGAAATCCACTCTTATGAGAATCGAAGCTGGTTGATACACGAAGCAAAACAGCAACCTGCAGATCCAGGACCCAAGCCCAACAGGAAAGTGGCAGCGACAAGACCCAAGGCACGAAACCAACACTTTGCCTACTGCAAAGTTCTATCATTCCAGTACCTGCATTTATCTTACAGCTCATCATCCGATGATGAGCTGCCCTCCACCCCATCCTCATCACTATCAGCTGGCTTAGCTTCTACAGCTGAATGTCAACGCCCATCCCTCCAACTCTTCCACCTCTTGTCAAGACTTAGGTCTCCCCATGATTCCACAGTATCACCAGATTGTAATATATTTGACTGGTTGCCCTGACACGACAAATAAATAAAACCAGATTGCCAATCCCCGCCACCAGAAAACTCCTCAAAAGTGTCACTGGACGTTGGTTGAGTACACACATTCTGAACTTCCTGTACCTTAGTCCAATCCAATGGCTCCTCTTCATCCCCATCACTCCCAGACCCATCATTCCCAGAAAAACCCATGAAATCTTCTTCCTCTGTGGGAGCAGTAAGTATTTCCCGGATCTTCTTTCTCTGACGCTCCTCGTTTGATTCCTACTCTCGAGCAATCCTCTTAGTCCCTCTATTCCTATCTGTATCTCCTTCCTCCTCCTTACTCATTTCACTCTCGGAGAAACCCTCAAAGGACTCTTCATCAGTGGGCGACATAAGTATCTCCCGAATCCTCTTCCTTTGCTGTTCCTCATCTAACACCTGGGCGCCTCGTTTCCCGCCTCTACTACTCCTACTACCAGTTGCAGCATTGCCAACAGGCTCTACTACAACATAGAGTGTGTTGCAGTAATCTATACAGGATGTAACCAGAGCATGGACCATCATGGCCAAGTCAGACCTCCCAAGATACGGATGCAGCTGGCGCACAAGTTTTAACTGTGCTCCCCTGGCCACCACCAAGATCTGGGATTCCAGAATCAGCAATGAATCCAGGATCACTCCAAAGCTGCGAACCTGCGCCTTCAGGGGGAGTGTAACCCCATCGAGCACAGGCTATAACACTATACCCTATTCGGCCTTCCGACTGACCAGGAGGACCTTTGTCTTGTCTGGATTAAGTTTCAATTTGTTCACTCTCATCCAGTCCATTACAGCTGCCAAGCACCAGTTCAGGACCTGAACAGCCTCCTTAGTAGCAGGTGGGAAGGAGTGACAGATCCGGACATAATCTGCATACACATGACATCATAATCCGAAACTCTGGATGATCTCTCCCAACGGCTTCATGCAAATGTTGAACATCATAGGGGACAGAGTTGATCCCTGCGGGACTCCACAGTACAATAGCCGTGGGGGCCGAGCAGATGTCCCCTAACACCACCATCTGGGAACAACCCTCCAGGAAGGACTGGAGCCACTGTAAAACGGTGCCTCCAAGGCTCATTCCTGCAAGGTGGCCCAGAAGGATACCGCGGTCTACGTTATCGAAGGTCCAGCAGAACCAACAGGGATACACTCCCCCTGTGCCAGTTCCCGGCGTAGATCATCCCACTAAGGTGACCAAGGCTATCTCAGTACCATGTCCCGGCCTAAAGCCAGACTGCGCCGGATCTAGATAATCTGTGTCTTCCAAGAACACCTGGAGTTTCAAGGCCACCACATGTTTTAGGACTTTGCCCAAAAAGGGGAGATTGGAAACTGGACGATGGTTGACGAATTGAGTGGGGTCCAGTGATGGTTTCTTCAACAGCGGTTTTATAACAGTTTGTTTTAAGCTGGCTGGAATTTTGCCTTCTGAAGGTAGGCATTAACCACCCACTCGGCCAATCCCCTTCTGGCTTCCTTTAGAAGCCAGGATGAGCAGTGGTCTAGGATGTATGTGGTTGCTCTCAACCTTCCAAGAATCTTGTCCACATCCTCGAGCTGAATCAATTGAAATAAATCAATCAAAACCAGACAAGCAGGTGCTCTTGTTACATCTGCAGAGCCTGCCATTAACATGGCGTCAAAGCGTGAGCAGATTAAAGCAACTTTGTCCGCAAATGCTTCATAGCGGGCTGCCGAGTAGTCAGGGGAGACGGGGTTCAACAACCCTCTGACTACTCGGAACAGCTCCGCTGGACAGTTCTTTGCAGATGCAACATTGACCAGTTCCAACTGCAAACTCCCTTCCCACTTTGCAAGTCTACCAAATGAGGGAACTAGAGCAGGGACCACCTCAGGAGAGCCTTTGCTGTGCAGGATCAGCTCCCTCCTGTCCCACTTTGCATCCCCTCCCTTGGTGTCTGAGTTGGATGTGGTCTGTCTGAGTACTGAACAACCTTTAAATATGGGCTGCCAGGGCTCTCTGATATCACAAAGACCCAGGAAAACGGTGGGCTAGCATCCTAACAGGAGCCACAGGGATTGGCTGAGCTCTGATGATGTCAACAATCCCTCAAGATCATGATCTTGCTTTACTTGGGCAGTTTATACAGTTTATACTTTTAGGAATTGGCACAGTACATAAAATATACAAATTATACAAAAATCATCAAATGTATACATTTTATTAAAGGGTTAGATCTGATAGAGTTTGTATGGTACAGCTGCTGCTGGGTCCATTCCAGAGCCTCAAGCGCTTTCGCCTTTTGCAACTTTGGTGCCATGGATTTTTTTTTAATAATAAAGAAAAAAACCTATATCTTGCTCGGAGTCTCTTGATAATCTATAATATACATGTCCACTTAAAAGCAAATAAGTCCAACTGGGTTCATGGAGGCTTAGAGGGAGTTATTATATGTTTCTTCAGTGGGTCAACAGCCTGTATATGAAGCTAAATGTCATTGATTCTGTAGTGCTGTTTTTTTCTTTACCCCTGCAACCAGTTGTCCATAGACACCTCTAAGGTCATGTGGCCGGCATGACTACATGGAGCGCTGTTACCTTCCTGCAGAAGCTATACCTATTGATCTACTCACGTTTGCATGTCAAACTGAAACAGAAGCTGGGCCTAACAACAGGAGCTCACCCTGCTCCCCGGATTCGAGCCACCAATCTTTCATTCAGCAAGTTCAGCAGCTCAGCAGTTTAACCCGCTGCTCCATCAGGAGGCTGGTGTAGACCACACAATTTCCATCCTTGGGATTGCTAAAATAAAAACATCTGGAACAAGGTTCGCAATTGTTTGCAGCCCTGAGATGATTGTCCACGAGTACTATTAGTATGTTACTGTGGTCCTCTGTGAAGAAATATGCCTTTGTTTAATTTATTATTCTGCACTGAATGGCATTATGGGTTACAGGAAACTTGTGCCCAAACATTCCCGGTATCCTGTATTTTCCTTTTTTTCTGAGAAAGTCCTATGGAATAAGCTTATGCCATAACATATGATTTTAGCAAACAAAAGAAGATATTCAATGCTAACTCAAGTGTTAAAACTTCTGAAATTTTTAGCATTTGCCCGAGTCTATTATTCAGTACTGTCAAAGGGCCATGAAGGGATATGCATTTCTTAAATATGTAGTTTTCAGAAGCCTTTTTGGCCAGAATTTTTCTTACTTATTGATCTGCTTTTGAAGTTTTAAGTTCTCTTTTCAATTAATCCCAGTAACTTGTTATGGTTATGGTTGGATCTAGAAGAATTGTGGTTCATCCTAACCATGTTACAGATAAAACCAGTCTCGAAATGTGGTGTAAATTCCTAATGTCTTCCCTAAATCAGAAGCTGGGGGTCAATTTTTGGTTCCCAGAGACTTCCATGGACTGCAGTATGCCTGAATCTTTAAAAAAATACAATCCAAAGTGGCCAGATCTCAGCCTGAGATTGTGTTTCACGATCAGGGTGCTTTGGATGTAGGGAGTGATGTCAATGAGTTTCAAGATGGCAATGGTTTGGTCAATTATATTGATGAGAGAATTATATCATATTAATCATATTAATAAAAACTTTTGTTTAAAATCACACCGGTTTAAAATCAGTGTCTCAGTTGGTCCATTGTCCTTCATATCACATTAAATCATCCCAATTGCTGCTTCTATTGCTGAAACGCTTGGGCCAATCTGATGTAGCTGGGAAGGGAGTTTCACAGGTGGGGGGCCACGACTGAGAAGACCTTGCCTCTCGTCCCCACCAGTCGTGTTTGCTATGGTTGTGGGACCGAGAGCAGGGCCCCGCTTAAACTTCGTGATGGTTCGTAACGGGAGATACGTTTGGACAGGTAAACAACAACAATAACAATAACAACACTTTATTTATATTCCGCCCTTCTCACCCTGAAGGGGACTCAGGCTGGATCATAGTACATATGCTCGGCAAACATTCAATGCCGCTTTGTATAGACAATACACAGACAGACAGAACAGGAGGTGGTTTCTTTCAGTTGTTTTTGGTGCTATGGAAGGTTGGGCTTGAGTCCAGGGGGTGCTGTTGCTCTATCCTCTATAACGAACAGCCTTCAGGACTTTCTCCTTCCTTTTGGTTGCCCAGCATTTTCTGATCTTCTTTCTTTATGGTTTTGAACTTGCAACCTTTTGGTTGATAGATCTTATAATTGCTGATGATTTACCAGCTGTGCTAAACCACCAACCCTGGGCCACAACCATACAGGGCTTTAAAGGTTTCTGGCCATACAGACCAAAAAAACTCACAGCAACCTATAATGACCCTTTTAGAAAGAGTGTTTCATCTTCTCTTGACCATAACTTTCACTGCAAGTTCACAGATCATTTTTCACGTTCGTTCTTTATCTCAGGTGCATTTTTTCATGCCTTTTCAAATACGCTTTGCTCCTGAAACTCTTCCCACAGCCTGTACACAGGTGGGGTTTTTCTCCCGTATGGATTCTCTCGTGATAGATAAGGTTCGATCTTCGATTGAAACTTTTACTGCAGACAGAACAGACGTGAGGTTTCTCTCCGGTGTGGTTTCTCTCGTGGGAGGTAAGGCTTGCTTTCTGCTTGAAGCTCTTCTCGCAGAAGGAGCACGAGTAGGGCTTCTCTCCGGTGTGGATCCTCCCGTGGATGATCAAGTGCTCCTTACGACTGAACCGTCGGCCACAGACGGAGCACGTGAAGGGTTTCTCCTGCGTATGGATTTTTTGGTGTTCGGTGTGGCTCGTTCGGTGTTTGAATCTCTTCCCGCATACCGAACAAGTGTAGGGCTTCTCTCCTGTGTGGATTCTCTCGTGGATCACCACTTGCGATTTGTTTCCAAACCTTTTCCCACAAATGGGGCATGCGTACGGCTTCTCCCCCGTGTGGGTTCTCATGTGCCCAAGGAGGTTTGCTTTGCAGCCAAAGCTTCTTCCACAAAGGGAGCATGCAAAAGGCATTACTCCCGTATGGATCCTTTCGTGGCTTGTCAGGTTAGATCGCTGCTTGAAGCTTTTGCCACAGAAGGAGCAAGGGTATGGCCTTTCTTCCGTGTGGGTCCTTTCATGGGAAACCAGGTTGGTTCGCCCACTGCAGCCTTTCCCGCAGACAGAGCATTTGTAAGGCGTCTCTCCTGTGTGGACGCGTTCATGCCGAACCAGGCTGACTTTGTGGACAAAGCTTTTGCTGCAAATGGAACACGTGTAGGTCTTTTCCTGCATGTGAGTTTTTTCGTGGCTGAGCAGGCTGGATCTTTGGTCGAAGCTTTTCCCGCAAACAGAACAGATGTAGGAACTTTCTTCACTGTGGCTCTTTTCGTGGACAGCCAGGTAACTTTTCCAGCTGAAGCTTTCCCCACAGATTGAGCAAGTATATGGTCTCCCCCCTGAATGGATCCCCTTGTGTCCCAGAAGACTTTTCCCACAGACTGAGAATGTATATGGGATCTCGTCGGTATGAATCCTCTCATGCTGAAGAATGCAAGAGCACTGACTGAACATCTTGCCACAGACTGAACATGGTTTCTCTCTCATATGAGTTTGCGCATGTCTAACAAGGCTTGCTTTGCGACAAAAGCCTTTCTCGCAGACTGAGCATACATGCGGTTTCTTTCCTGTGTGGGTGATCTGATGCGCAATAAGGTCTGAACTCTGGCAGAAGCTTTTGCCACATACACAACACTTATAGGGTTTCTCCACTGTATGAATTCTTTTGTGTCTCATAAGGAGTGCTTTACGGCTTAATTTTTTGCCACAGATGGAGCACTGATATGGCTTTTCACCCGTATGGGTCTTTTCATGGCTAATCAGATGGGATCTTTGACTGAAGCTTTTCTCACAGACTGAACATGGATACGGTTTCTCTCCTGTATGGTTTATCTCGTGTCTGATAAGATGTGACCTCCGAAAGAATTTTTTCCCACAGACAAGACATGCATACAGTTTACCTCTTGGATGGCGTTTTCTGTGTGTTATCAGGTAATATTTCCAAGCGGATCTTTTCTCGCCATCCAAGTGTCTGAACAGTTCCTTCCCTTTTGGAAGCATTCTTCCAGGTTTACGGTCTTTCATTTGGAACCTAGTGTTCTTAGTTCCATTCCCCAAGCAGGATAAAGTCTCTCCTATTTGCTTCTCCGAGGGATTTCTGTGCTGCCTTTCTGTTCTGCCTTCCTTCACAGAAACAAATGCCTTCTTTGGATGATGAGAGATATTCCCGTTGACTGTTCCCAAAGATATGTTATTTGTTTTTACTTCATTAGTGATTTCCCATGGAAGATGGTCTTCTTCTTTCATATGTCCGTGGCCTGTTAAAATAAGCAAAGAATTATGAAACAAGGAATATTCCTACCTAACATTAATGAATTTTATGGTCACTCCAAATGTGGGTACATCTATAATGTAGAATTAATGCAATTTGACACCATTTTAACAGCCATTTATTATTTATTTATCACACTTGTGCACCAGCTGCACCCATACCTTGAGATGCCTGACATGGCCATGGTAGTCCACACCTTAGTCACATCCTGTTTGGACTACTGCAATGCACTCTACATGGGGCTGCCCTTGAAGATAGTCCGGAAGCTTCAAATGGTACAGAGATCTGTAGCCAGGTTACTAACTAGATCACCATTCAGGGAGAGAACCACTCCCATGCTACGGCAGCTCCAATGGCTGCCGGTCTGCTTCCGGGCTAAATACAAAGTGCTGGTTCTTACCTTTGAAGCCCTAAACGTTTCAAGTCCAGACTATTTGACAAACTGCATCTCCCAATATAGACCAGCTCAGACACTACGGTCATTGGAAGAGGCCCTCCTCTCGGTCCCATCCCCGTCCCAAGTATGGCTGGTGGGAACGAGAGAAAGGGCCTTCTCCATGCCCACCCCACACCTCTGGAACTCCCTTTCTAAGGAGTTAAAGATACCCCACTCCATCTCAGCTTTCAAGAAACAGCTGAAGACGTACCTTTGCTCCCTGGAGTTGATAGTAATCCTATCATTATAGCTCTGATTAATAGCTACCATCCATATTGGTGCCCTGTTTGCCCCACCAGCTCAATAGATATCTTGAGCAATGATCCATCAATTTGCCCCCAAGGAATTTGGAAATTGATATTAAATCATAATTTGTGTTTATACGTTGGGTTGCTAAATTTCATTACTATGGATGTATTGTTGTTGTATTTGGGCATTGAATGTTTACTTTTTATGTTTGGAATCCACCATAAGTCCCTCCTGGAAGATAGGGAGGAATATAAATAAATTATTATTATTATTATACTGACACAAAAACACAGTATGTCACGGCAAACAAGATATATATGCTGGATTTCGTATCACAAAATCACAAGTTGAACACTTCTCAAGTGTCTAGGAATGTGTGATGTATTTTTGAATAATGCGTGCAGATCCAAGTAAGGTGGCCTTTTGCAGTTGACAGATCGTCATTTTGCCAATGTTTATTGTTTCCAAATGCTGGCTAAGATCTTTTGGCACGTTACCCAGTGTGCGGATGACCACTGGGACCCCCTAGACTGGTTTATGCAGTTCGGTTTTGAGGTCCTGATAACGGCTGAGATTTTCCTGTTGTTTTTCCTCAATGCAACTGTCACCCGGTATGGCGACATCAATAATCCAAACTTTTTTCTTTTCCACAGTCATGATGTCTGGTGTATTGTGTTCCAAAACTTTGTCAGTCTGGATTTGAAAGTCTCAAAGTATTTTGCGTGTTCATTTTTCACAACTATTATTGCTGTTGGGTTGTTGTAGGTATTTTTGGGCTCTATGGCCATGTTCTAGAGGCATTTCTCCTGACGTTTCTCATCAGGAGAAATGCCTCTAGATGAACATGGCCATATAGCCCGAAAAAACCTACAACAACCCAGTGATTCTGGCCATGAAAGCCTTCGACAATAATAATTGTTGTTGTTGTTGTTTTCCCTCACCCTTCTCAACCCCGAGGGGGACTCAAGAGCAGCCTTACACATTGGCAACAATTCAATGCCATAAAACAACATACAATTAAATAAACATTTATGTTAAAACGGATGAATTAAAACATCTAAACGCTTACATCAGTTATTAAAATCACACAATTTGAGATCATAATCCAGAGCCATTCCAGTTATCAATGCAGAGATTCATTTATTGCACTGCAGTTACTCTCCGAAAGCTGAGTGCCATAGGCAAGTTTTTACTTTCTTCCTGAAGGCTAGGAGGAAAGGAGCTGATTGAATATCACTGGGGAGGAAGTTCCACAGCCGAGAGGCCACCAATGAGAAGGCCATGTCTCTCGTCCACATCAATCGCACCTGTGAAGGAAGTGGGACCAAGAGAAAGCCTCCCCAGAAGATCTTAATCTCTGAGATGGTTCATAGAGAGAGACACATTCAAACAAGTAAGCTGGGCCAGAACCATTTAGGACTTTATAGGCTAAAGCCAGCACTTTGAATTGTGCTTGGTAGCAGACTGGCAGCCATTGGCGCTGATGCAACAGGAGGGATGCCCTCTTTCTGTACAATGCTCCTGTGAGCAGTCTGGTTGCTGCCTGTTGAACCATTTGAAGCTTCCAAACAGTCTTCAAAGGCAACCCCACATAGAGTGCATTGCAGTAGTCTACTCGGACTGTACTTCCCAAAGTACGAGTGCAACTGCTGCACAAGTTTAAATTGTGCGAAAGCTCCCCTGGCCACTGCTGAAACCTAAGGTTCCAGCCTCAGTGATAAATCCAGGAGAACTTCCAAGCTGCGAACCAGTGTTTTCAGGGGGAGTGTAATCCCATCCAGCACAGACTGTAACCCTATGCCCTGTCTGGTCTTGTGACTGACCAGAGGTACCACTGTCTTGTCTGGATTCAATTTCAATTTGTTCACCCTCATCCAGATCGCTACAGTTGCCAAGCACCAGTTCAGGACCTGATCAGCCTTAGTAGCAGGTGGAAAGGAGTGACAGAGTTAGATGTCATCTGCGTACAGATGGCATCAAACTTCAAAACTACGGATGCTCTCTCCTAGCGGCCATGACTCAATGTTATGGATTCCTGGGACTTGCAGTTTGGTGAGGCACCATCACTCTCTGGCAAAGAAGGCGAATGACTCTGTAAAACTACAGCTCTTATTACTCCATAGCATTGAGCCATGACTGAGACGATATCCATGGCGCTTCTTCCTGCCCTTGCTTTATTTCTGGTTAGAGCCGCTGCAAACTAGCGTCTTGGGAGAGCAAACTGTGCCAGCACAACCGATGACGTCAAAGACTCCGCCTCTTTCTCCGCCTATTTCTCCGCGGCCGCGTGGTTTTCCCTTTGCTAGGGCAGCGATGCGAGCGTACTCTTGCTGTTGACAGAATTCAACAGGCAGAGCAGTCACGCTAGCAAGAGAGAGAGGATAAAAAATGGACGACTGCGTTAAGACTTGTCGCAAACTACAGGCAGCGGGAGCGAGCTTGCGCTCGAGCTCGCTCCACAGCCCCGCCTTTTTCCCCCCAAGGCTACGAGCCAGTTTTGCTAGAGAAACAATGCTGCATGAAGCAGCCGCAAACTACGACCTATGCGAAGCCGTGTCATTGTGTTCTTTCCTTTGAGTAAGCATGCTATCAGATCATTAATTCTATCGTGTATTAGTTATTAGACGAAAAGAATGGGTGATTGTGAAGATAAAACGGATTATGCAGTCTATGCCATTATATTAGCGTCGCAGGAAAAAGAAGAGGAAAACAAACGGCGTAGAAAGCGGGTGCCTACCAGAAGATGGATAAAAAGGCGAGCACATAAAGGAGCCTTCTTAAATTTAAATCAGGAGTTGAGAGGCGAGGATCCAACTTCATACAAGTACGTTGCAATTAACAGGACGTAGGGAGTTTGATGCCCTTAAATGTACTAATTGCACAAATCTAATTAACAAATTGCATGTTTATTTCTAGGAGGTGGCTGCGTGTAACAGAAGAACAGTTTGACCATCTTTTGCATGAAATCTCCCCCCGAATTCAGAAGCAAAAGACAAAGTTTGGGGAGCCAATATCTGCAGCTGAGAGGCTCACCATTACGCTCCGGTATCTAGCCACAGGAAATACATTCAGAGACTTATCGTGGGAGTTTCGAATTGGCGAAAGAACCGTATCATATATCATCTTGGAAACATGTGCAGCTCTTTATGAATTCTTGAAGTACACATTTGAAGTGCCAACATCAAAAGAGCATTGGAGAGCTGTTTCCAAGCAATTTCTAGATCGGTGGAATGTGCCACATTGTTTGGGGGCCATTGATGGAAAACATATTGTGATAAGGAAGCCGATCAACAGTGGTTCCCATTACCACAATTATAAAGGAACAGAATCTAGTGTCCTTTTAGCAGTTGTGGATGCTAATTATAAATTTCGGTACGTTGAAGTGCAGTAGGTAAGAATTAATTTAATTATACTAAGGGCTTAAAGCATGTTCTTCATTTTGATTTTCTAGATATATTGATGTTGGCACACAAGGAAGGATCAGCGATGGAGGTGTGTGGAACAAATGTAATTTAAAAGAGCTTATAGATGTTAACGCTCTTGACATGCCCCCAGCCCATCCACTTCCAGGTCAAGACATACCCACTCCATACGTCTTCTTAGCAGATGAAGCTTTTGGATTAAAACCATATATCCTCAAGCCGTATGGGGGAAATGATTTGACTCTGGAAGAACGGATATGCAATTACAGGTAAGCATTCAGTTGTATCTTGCAGCATTATACCAGTGAAATAGATTAATAAGGAAACCTTTGACCTTGGAAAATTGATATAGTAATAGTTGCATTTAACGTATCTTTTGATTATTTTCTTGTAAAGAATTTCATGTGGCCGCCAAGTTGTAGAGATAGCTTTTGGAATTTTTGCTAATAGATTAAGAGTATTTCTAAATCCCATCCTGCTACAGCCAGACAGAGTGCGCACATTAGTACTTGCTGGTTGTGCACTTCACAACTTTTTAAGGAGCCATGAAAGCACAGAATCATGGCCAGTCAATTATGTGGACAGAGAAGATGTGGAAACTGGTACCACTGTGCCTGGTGCCTGGAGGACTGAGATTCCTATACAGCCCGGAACAGATCTGCATCTTCCACAAGTGGCCACCACCTACTCCAATTATTACAGCACAGAGGCAAAAGCTGTGAGGGAGAATTTTAAAGCATTTTTTACATCTGATGTTGGTGCGGTGTACTGGCAACATCGTTTTGTATAGCAGTTATTTTATATATATTTTTAATGTAACTGTACATATTGATAATAAAACAAACCTTTATTAAACATAACATGTTACAGTAGTCTACTTTATTGCCAACAAAATGCTAATTTATTGCTTATTGGCCCTTGACCGTTTGTAATATGTCAACAAGATACCCTGTATTTCATATTTTGCTTCTTCCCGCAAGTCTTCACTAATATTCATTAAGCTGAGAGCGACGTGGTTACCGAAATTTTGTTCTACACATGTTGGGGTGTTGCTTTGCTTGTTTGCCAGGTAGTCCACAGCCTTCTTATATAGCTCGGACCGAAGAGAGGGAGATGACACAAGCGATGTCTTCTGTCGCTTTCTTTTATTCTCCTGTCTGTCGACTGTAACTCCATCGTCCCTCGGATGAGGACTTGACCACTGACTGTTTGTTGGCGTTACTGAATTACTTACTGAGTTCATTGTGTCATGGCTACATGACGGGGTATTTGGCTCTGTGCTTTGAATTATGGTAAAAGATAACTCTTGGAACTCACTTGCTTCAGTGCACATCAAGTCCTCTCTTTCTTCTGTAACTATGGGTTGACTACACTTGTCCTGAAATCAATACCAGCACTGCATTAGACATGTTGTGGTGTACATGGCTAATGCACATGTTAGAATGTGATATTTGTACATCAAATCATCCATAACTGGTCCAAAGAGACAATCAGTGTTCTAGGTAAGCAACTATAGTGTTACCACCATCACACCATACAGTTATGTAGCCTATATGTTCGCACTTACATTTTCAAGGGAGATGCTGAGGTTGATGGTATCCTCACTTTCATCTGCCTGCATGGAGTCCCTAAGGAAATCCATCTCCTTGAAGTACGGAAATCTGATTTTGTGCACATTATTGGTGCCCACTCCAGACAACTTTGATTTTTGCAGCTTTGACAGTTCCCTCTTGTATGCATCCTTCATATTTTTAAATTTTTTACTAAGAATCTTGTTTGCTGTAAATTATAATGGAAATGTTCAAGTTGTTATTTTCACTTTGATAATTGGGATATGATGGAACAGATTATAGCCTACTACATCATACATATCCATAGTCTACTTACAAGTGATGTTGATACCATGTTCAGAAGCTAAAAGGTCTCTTAACACTGTCAATGTGGAATCCCTCCTGTTCTTTTTGTAATAGTCCACATGACTTGGATTCCACAGATGTGGATTGGCTGTAGAACAAAGATTTTATTATCTCTCACTGAATATATTATTAATAGAAAACTTATTTCCATCTAATTTTGTGAAAATCTAACATTTTTAAATGATTTATCTCTGGATAGAACAACTTCACAAAACACTTTGTTCCCACATTGTTACTTCTGCACAATGATAGTCTTTTGATCTATTGCTTTTTATAAGTATGATTTTTAATCATTTTTATTGCTAGATCTGAATAACCTATAATATTAATCGGTCTGTTTTCGTTCCAAAACAGCATGGGAAGAACGTGCCAAAACATGGATAGTTTTCGGCTTGGAGGGGTTACCAGCCGAAAGCTATTTATATACAACGTTTATACTATTTTATTTTTAATATGGAATCTATAAATCATGTAATTTACTTACATCGATAAAATTCTATAATTTCTTTTTCAACTTTTTCGTCGTTAGGATACCCTGAATCAAAAGACAAAACAAAACAAAGAAGTCATATGTTCTAACAGCCTGCATGGGAAAATCAGCCCAACTGGTTGGCAAGAGTGGGACCCTTCTTTGTTCTCTTTCAGCTGGGAGGCAAGAAGCCCTCGGTGGCGCAGTGGGCTAAACCCCTGTGCTGGCAGGAATGAAGGGTCGCAGGTTCGAATCCGGGGAGAGCGCGGATGAGCTCCCTCTATAACAGCTCCAGCTCCTCATGCGGGGACATGAGAGAAGCCTCCCACAGGGATGGTAAGATATCAAAACATCCGAGCATCCCCTGGGCAACGTCCTTGCAGACAGCCAATTCTCTCAAACCAGAAACGACTTGCAGTTTCTCAAGTCACTCCGGACACGACTAAAAATAATAATAAAAAGCTGAGAAGCAAAACAGTTCCAAGTGTTAATTGCCTGTGGCAGAAGGTCTTTTCACTGGGTTGTGTTGCACTGAATTTTTATTGCTATTACTAATTTATTTTCCACTCTTGAGTTTGTATGTGGCTGAGTAAGTTACCTTGAATTATATGAGAAATGTCAAGGAATGAGATAGTAAACTGGGTTGTTGTAGGTTTTTTTGGGCTACATGGCCATGGTCTAGAGGCATTCTCCCTTGACGTTTTGCCTGCATCTATGGCAAGCATCCTCAGAGTCTGTTGGAACTAGGAAAAAGGGTTTATATATCTGTACAATGACCAGGGTGGGACAAAGGACTCTTGTCTGCTGGAGCTATGTGCAAATGTTTCAACTGATCACCTTGATTAGCATTTAATTGCCTGGCAGTGCCTGGAGCAAACTTTTGTTGAGAAGTGATTAGATGTCCTTGTTTGTTTCCTCTCTGTTGTTGTGCTGTTCTAATTTTAGAGTTTAGAGATAGTAAACTGCTAAATAAATATGTCAACCTATCATTCTCTGGGCCCTTTACCTGAGTTGGTACCTTGGATGGTTCGACTATCCTCACACCTCTGGTGATCCAGGACCCATGGCTCCTCCTCTTCTTCCAGCTTTATGATCACATCAGGAAATTCTGTTCAAAGTCAAGGTGCGAAGGGAACATAATTTAAAGGCACATTGGATTATGCAAGGGACGTGAAGAGCCCAATTTACACACATGTCCACTGTATGGCCCGGATTCCTACCTGAATCAGGCTCTGATAGAACTTCCTTCTCCATCATGACTGACTGATCCGGAACCCAAGGGTCTTCCTCTTGCTCCAGATGGTAGATCAAGCTGGGCTAGGCAGCTGGAAGGCCTGCTCAGGGAGAAAGGAAAGATTGGATGGGACTCATCTTCTGAAATATGAACAAATCAGGACTACTCAAACTGCCTGTGTTTCATGGAGGACATATATTTCTCCTTGAGGCTTCTGCACTGCAATTATTTCCAGCTCTAGGAAGCATAACCAATGATGAGAAGGGTTTCTAAGGGGATCACACATTCACAAATCCTATTCTAAGCAACTTATTAACTCTACCAGATAGGAAGTGGCTAGTTATGTAAATATACAATATACAAGTTGAGTATCCCTTGTCCTACACTAATTTCCTCATCTTCCCAGGTTCTTTGAAGTCAAGGGTGGAGAACCTCTTTCAGCCATGTTTAACCGTTTATGTATTTATGGTTTTATACTGGTGTTTATTGATATTGTGGCATCGAATTACTGCCTGTATTACCTGCTCTGAGTCCACCCCCCCCCCCCCCCCCGAGGTAAATAATAAAATAAATAATAAGTGATGAGTGGGACAAAGACAAAAAGAATGAAGCCAAAATATCAATTTGTTAAAGTTCTTATTGCCAACAACAAAGCTTTGGGAGACATTTCAAATATTCAGGATGGGGGAAAAACATGTACAAAACCTAGGAAATCACGTCACTGTTCTATAATGGATGAAGGAGGCATGACCATTTGTGAAAGCCCAACAGCTACACGGTTGCAAGTCTACCACTCCTGCTTGAAGTAAGTATTAGAGAAGTAGTAGGAATGACCTAAAGAGGCCACATTTCTCTAATTTTCTCATTGCTCTCACCACCTCCGCTTGCTGGGCTCAGTGGGAGTGATGGGAGGGTGCCTCTACTGACTTTTTAGAAGTGCCTTCCCATCGCCCCCAGTTGCCTCCGCCGAGCTTAGCAGGTGAAGATGATGCAGGGCCATGAAAGGGCATGTTAGACAATCCCTTGATGTCCGAGTAAAATTGTCCTCCAAGTTCGGTGTCCTGAAGGTGCGTACGTAGGTGACTGTGGAGCCCTATTCTTGACCTGCATGTTCTTCCGCAGTGGGGGCATTGGTTTCCAGGTGAAAGACGGACCCGGTCAGAGCTGGCTTGACATGCCTTCCACTTGGCATGTTTCTCTCTTTCGCCCTCCATTCATGCCTCTTCAAATTCTACGGCACTGCTGGTCACAGCTGACCTCCAACTGGAGCGCTCAAGGACCAGGGCTTCCCAGTTCTCTGTGTTTATGCCGCAGTTTTTAAGGTTGGCTTTGAGCCTGTCTTTAAAACCTTTTTCCTGTCCTCCAACATTTCATTTTCCGTTCTTCGGTTCGGAGTAGAGCAACTGCTTTGGGAGATGGGCATTCGGACAACATGGCCGATCCAGCAGAGTTTATGGCGGAGGACCATCGCTTCAATGCTGGTGGTCTTTGCTTCTTCCAGCATGCTGACATTTGTCCGCCTGTCTTCCCAAGAGATTTGCAGGATTTTTCGGAGGCAACACTGATGGAATCGTTCCAGGAGTTGCATGTCACATCTGTAGATAGTCCACGTTTCGCAGGCATATAGCAGGGTTGGGAGGATGATAGCTTTATAAACAAGCACTTTGGTATCCCTATGAATGTCCCGGTCCACAAACACTCTGTGCTTGACACGGCAGCAAGGGAGAGAGGGAGAAGCCCGTTCATTCTGCACACAGCCAGGGGCCGGGCTTCTGGCGGTTCCCTTCTCTTCCAGCCGAGGCTTTTCTAGTGGCTGCGGCTGCAAGGAGCTCACACATCCCAGGCCTGGCAACCCGGCTGAGGTGAGTGTGCCTTCCCTGCATGAGCTCTGCAAGGGCCTGGGAAGCAGGGAGGCCGAAAGGGAGGCCTGTCACCGCCTTCTCTCTCCAGTCTTCCTTGAGGGCCTTGTCACCACCCTGTTGTTGTCGTCACTGTTTTTGTATGGCTCCAAGCTTCTTTTGACGCGAGGCTCCAGAAAAGCCAGGCGGCCATTCCGGAGAGGGGGCGAGGACAAAGGAGGAGGTGGTGACCCCTCAGAAACATCCAATTGACCCCTCTGGGGGTTGCAACCCCCAGGTTGAGAACCGTTGGTGTACATAGAATCATAGAATCAAATGAAAGAGTTGGAAGAGACCTCATGGGCCATCCAGTCCAACCCCCTGCCAAGAAGCAGGAATATTGAATTCAAATCACCCCTGACAGATGGCCATCCAGCCTCTGTTTAAAAGCTTCCAAAGAAGGAGCCTCCACCACACTCCGGGGCAGAGAGTTCCACTGCTGAACGGCTCTCATGTCAGGAAGTTCTTCCTCATGTTCAGATGGAATCTCCTCTCTTGTAGTTTGAAGCCATTGTTCTGCGTCCTAGTCTCCGGGGAAGCAGAAAACAAGCTTGCTTCCTCCTCCCCGTGGCTTCCTCTCACATATTTATACATGGGCTATCATATCTCCTCTCAGCCTTCTCTTCTTCAGGCTAGACATGCCCAGCTCCTTAAGCCGCTCCTCATAGGGCTTGTTCTCCAGACCCTTGATCATTTTAGTCGCCCTCCTCTGGACACATTCCAGCTTGTCAACATCTCCCTTCAATTGTGGTGCCCAGAATTGGACACAATATTCCAGGTGTGGTCTAACCAAGGCAGAATAGAGGGGTAGCATGACTTCCCTAGGTCTAGATACTCCTATTGATGCAGGCCAAAATCCCATTGGCTTTTTTTTGCCGCCACATCACATTGTTGGCTCATGTTTAACTTGTTGTCCACAAAGACTCCAAGATCTTCTTCACATGTACTGCTCTCGAGCCAGGCATTGTCCCCCATTCTGTATCTTTGCATTTCGTTTTTCCTGAACCCTGGAAGTAGCATGGTAATATGGTAATAACAGTAGGGATTTGAAACCTAAAAAGCATGCACATTTATTCTGGCATACATTTTTCTGGACTACAGCAAATTTCATCAAATGCATGAAATATTAACTCGAGATATTGTAAATCGACAACGACCAAAATGTTTCTGCTGTAATTAAAATGTTAGTCTTTAAGATGCCGCTGGCTGGAAAAGGACAACTGTTTCTTTCACTTCATATACAACTCTCTTTTGTTTTCTTATCAGCTCAGTGTTATGATTGATTTGGTTTGGGGATGATCTCTAAATGTTTGCCAGAGGCCCAAGAGTAATAAATCATAATGCAAATGGCTACACTCCCTCTTTCAAACTTTTAAACCACATCAAACAAAACAATCATCTGACTAAAGCCCAAAGGGGGAAAATAAATGCCATGCTTAGAAGGAGAACTCCTTTGGTTCAGATATATCAGGTTTTGATTCCAGAAACTCATAATTTGTTAAGAATTCTCTATTTGTATATTTGTGCCTTCAGGTCACCTGTTAATTTATGCTGGCCCCATGACTTTCATAGGGTTTTCTTGGCCCTCTTCAATACTGCTATATAAAATCCAGGTTATCTGCTTTGAACTGGATTATATGGCAGTGTAAATTTAAACAGAGCCCCCAGTGGCGCAGCAGATTAAAGCACTGAGTTGCTGAACTTGGTGACTGAAAGGTCGGCGGTTTGAATTCAGGTAGCGGGATGAGCTCCTGCTGTTAGTCCCAGCTTCTGCCAAACTAGCAGTTAGAAAACATGCAAATGTGAGTAGATCAATAGGTACCACTCTGGCGGGAAGGTAACGGTACTCTGTGCAGTCATGCTGGCCACATGACCTCGGAAGTGTCTATGGACAACACCAGCTGTTTGGCTTAGAGATGGAGATGAGCACCACTCCATAGAGTCAGACACAAGTAGACTTAATGTCAAAGGGAAACCTTTACCTTTACTTTAAATTTAAATAAATACAGATAATCAAAACAGATAATCTGGATTTTATATGACAGTGTAGAAAAGGCCTCAGAGGTGGTTTTGCCAGTTCCTTTTGCTAAAATGTAACCTACACACCTGGTTTTGTTGGCAGTCCCCCATCCAAATCCTAACCAGGGCTGACCCTGCTTAGCTTCCAAGACTAGATAGGATTTGGTGCCTATAGAGTTCTCTGCATATTTCTATTGACCCAAAAATATATCATATAAAGCCTGATATAAGAGAGGAAAAAGGCTAAAATAGAACAACCCTGTGATTTGAAATGGATTATCCAAACTGAATTGTGTTCATTGTCTCTCTCCAAACAAAACTAAACAAAAATCAATTTGTGGTTACAAACAAGCTTCTACATCTTGTCATTATTATTTATAGAGTCATGTGAGGTACTGTTGCTCTGATTGTTAAATACAGATTTAACTTCCCTTTTTCAAAATGCTCCCAAATAAAAAAAAATCGTCCATATGTGTGGCTGAAAGTGGATCTACACCGTCATATAATCTAGTCTCAGATTATCTGCTCTGAACTGGATTATATGAGTCTACACTGCAATACAATCCAGTTCAAAGCAGACAATCTGGATTCAGAAACTGGGTTAAATGCCAGCGTAGATGGGGACACCTTTCTTTTCTGACTATTCAATTTACACAAATTTTGATTCATACATGAAATTATGTATTAAAAATAATATCTTATATACATAAAAATATAATGTTCATTTGTGGGATTAACAGAACTCAAAAACCACTGGACGAATTGACACCAAATTTGGACACGAGACACCTAACAACCCAATGTATGTCCTTCACTAAAAAAAAAATTGATTTTGTCATTTGGGAGTTGTAGTTGCTGGGATTTATAGTTCACCTACAATCAGAACCCACCAATGATGGAATTGAACCAAACTTGGCACAAAGAACTCCCATGACCAACAGAAAATACTGGAAGGGTTTGGTGGGCAGTGTCCTTTGGTTTTGGAGTTGTAGTTCACCTACATCCAGAGATCACTGTGGACTCAAACAATGATGGATCTGGACCAAACTCTACAAGAATACTCAATATGCCCAAATGTGAACACTGGTGGAGTTTGGGGAAAATAGAATCTTGACATTTGGGAGTTGTAGTTGCTGGGATTTATAGTTCACCTACAATCACAGAGCATTCTGAACCCCACCAATGATAGAATTGGGCCAAACCTCCCACACAGAACCCCCATGTGGGCCACAGCAATGCATGGCAGGGGAAAGCTAGTTGTATATAAAATGACCATCAGTATATGTGTATAAGCTGTATATGAAACAGCAACTAATTTCATCTTGTGATCTATATGCAAATATTTTTTTAAAATCTTCCCAGAATCCAAAACATTCAACCTGCAAGTGTGGGTGCATCTACACTGCAGAATTAATGCAGTTTTACCCCACTTTGACTGCCATGGCTAAATAATCCAGAATCCTGGGAGGCATCAACACTTAGCAGAGAAAACTGAAGATTTTGTAAACCTGCAACTCCCAGGATCCCATATCATTGAGGCATGGCAGCTAAAGTGGTATCAAACTGCATCAATTCTACAGTATAGACACACCCTGAGAATCTAAAAGCCTTGCTGATCCACTGGAAAACATTCACCCACCCTTTTCCCTTTCCCATCAACAGATAGTCCTGTTTAAAGCCTTCTCTGACCAATTCCTCCACCTCCTTCTTGACTGCAGCTTCTTTATATTTTCTTTCCCAAACCAAAACCTGGAGTTCTCACCTGGTCTGCCTTTCAGAAGAAGGAAAAGAAGGACTTGAACTCTCAAGGATAACAGGGTGATGTTTCCAAGGGGAGCCCTTTTTGTGTTGCACCGCTATTCTTCTTCGGCCCGCTTACTGCATCATAGCGAGAATGCCTACTTTCTGTCACGTGACTGAAGCCGAACCAGAGGGCTGGCAGTGCAACACCTCATATCCTTCCGTGCTGCTTCCCTTTGGAGCAGCTTGAAATCTAGAAGACACTGAGTTGCTGGGAACCGAATGCAATGTCTTGCACTTTGGATGATGATGAAAGACTATCCTCTACACTGCAGGATACCACTTTAACTGCCATGGCTGAGCTATGCAATTGTGGGACTCACATTTATAAGGGTTTGAGCCTCCTCTGCCAAAGAGTGCTGGTGCCTCAGCAAACTACAAATCCAAAGACATTAACTGCATTATTTCTACAGTGTAGGTGTGCAGGTACAACTGTACCAGGACCTCCAATTTTGTTTGCTTTGCACTGAATGTTTGTTGTAGTCCTAAGTTTCAGGGACTCTGCAGATAGGTGGCTTTTTTTGGCTGCAATCATAGGGCAAGCCACCTGTCAATTATAGTTAGGTTCCCTGGTCCCGCCCCCTTTTGGGTTTTTGGAGATAATAGGAGCCATTTTGGGTTCAGTCCACACAGAGAAGCCTTTCATGCAGGACATAATACCAAGAGCTCCTGTAGAAATCTTCAAGGACCAAGTAGCAACAGTAAACACTTCTCTACAAACAGACTGGTTCAAGATTGGGAAAGGCGTACGACAAGGCTGCATACTCTCACCCAACCTTTTTAACTTGTATGCAGAACACATCATGCGATGTGGGGGCTTGAGGAATGCAAAGCTGGGGTGAAAATTGCTGGAAGAAACATTAACAACCTCAGATATGCAGATGACACCACTCTGATGGCCGAAAGCGAGGAGGAGCTGAGGAGCCTTCTAATCAAGGTGAAAGAAGAAAGCGCAAAAGCTGGGTTGCAGCTAAACATCAAAAAAACCAAGATTATGGCAACAAGAATGATTGACAACGGGGAAATAGAGGGAGAAAATGTGGAGGCCGTGACAGACTTTGTATTTCTAGGCGCAAAGATTACTGCAGATGCAGACTGTGGCCAGGAAATCAGAAGACGCTTACTTCTTGGGAGGAGAGCAATGTCCAGTCTCGATAAAATAGTAAAGAGTAGAGACATCAGACTGGCAACAAAGATCCGCCTAGTCAAAGCCATGGTATTCCCTGTAGTAACCTACAGATGTGAGAGCTGGACCTCAGGGAAGGCGGAGCGAAGGAAGATAGATGCTTTTGAGCTGTGGTGCTGGAAAGTTCTGAGAGTGCCTTGGACTGCGAGAAGATCCAACCAGTCCATCCTCCAGGAAATAAAGCCCGACTGCTCACTGGAGGGAAGGATACTAGAGACAAAGTTGAAGTACTTTGGCCACATAATGAGGAGACAGGAAAGCCTAGAGAAGACAATTATGCTGGGGAAAGTGGAAGGCAAAAGGAAGAGGGGCCGACCAAGGGCAAGATGGATGGATGGCATCCTTGAAGTGACTTGAAGGAGCTGGGGGTGGTGACGGCCGACAGGGAGCTCTGGCGTGGGCTGGTCCATGAGGTCACGAAGAGTCAGAGACGACTGAACGAATGAACAACAACAGGAGCCATTTTGGGTTCAGTCCACGCAGAGAAGCTTTTCATGCAGGACATAATACCAAAAGCTCCTGTAGAAAGCTTCGTCTTCTACGGCTTGGCCGGGGAGATATACAGCCCACAGCTTGGCTGGGGTTTTACAGCCCTACATCTCTTTTGCTGAAGGACTTCAGTCAGCCATCACGGAAACCTAACTTCTTTTCCCTGGAAGTCTACAAAGCTCTGCTTGGTAAGGGTCACTCGCGGAAGCCAGAAGCAGTTGGTACCGGGTGTAGGGGCTCCACGCCATCAGAGGCAAAGACAGACTGCCCAGATTAGAAGTTAAGGATTTCCCCATTAGTTACAGTTATGAAGATAGTGCCTGTTCCCTGTGGACAAGATTGAGAGAGAGCCAATAGACTGTTAAGAAAGCCTTAAAGTACCTGTTTGTTTTCATTAATAAAGAACTTTGTTGAACCTTTAAGCAATCTAGAGACTCTGTTTTAAGGAAATCCAAAAGCCTTTAATCTGAGGCAGCCCCGGTGTCCCGTTGGGCACACAGGATTTATGTCCTGTCTACAGCCTTATGCACAGGCCCAGCGTGTGACAGCACAGTAGGGTGCATCCACATTGTAGAATTGATGCAGTTTGGTCCTCCTTTTAACTGTCATGGCACATTATAGAACCCTGGTTGTTGTAGTTTTACAAGGTCTTTAGCCTTCTCTACCAAAAGTGCAGGTGGATCACCAAAGGACCAGGTTGTGGCGCAGCTGGTTGGGTGTCAGTTGCATTAAAATCACTACTGACAGGAGGCTGATTCATGAAGAAAGTCAACAAATCCTCAAAAAAAAATCCCCCAAAAAACCCGAATACTACTTATTAGGAATTACGGACGGAGATATAAAATTAGATTCGAACGAAGACATTATGTATTAGACGACAGCCACCAAGATTACCTTTGCGAAATTTTGGAAACAAAGGGAAATACCGGAAATAGACCAGTGGATAACAAAAATAAATGAAATAAAAGACATGGATATGTTAACCTTTTTTACTAAAAAGGAATACAGGAAATCCAAGCAAACATACAGACTGGCTACAGGTCAAGAAATATGAAGAAGAAGAGAAAAAATAAAACTAACCAAGAACAATACACTAAAACTGGATTCAAGGGTGGTTAAACAAGGTTTTACGTACTTTATTTTTACATATATTATCCTCTTTCTTTTTATATAACTTTTAAAATAAAATATTATGAGTCATAATTTGGAAGATCACGTATGAAATATATATTTCGAACCGTGAAGGATTAGATAGAAGTCACAATTTTTACATTTTTATTCAATTTTTTTCCTGAGGAGATATTATTAGGTAATATTATTAGTTTTGTATCATTTTCTCTCTTTTTCTTTCTTTTCCTACTTTCCTTTAATCAAATTGTGTCTCCACTTTACCTGGATAACTATCTACTCCTCTTTTACTTTTATTTCACTATATTAAATAAAAATTTACATGAAAAAAAATCACTACTGACAGAAAGGTCACGAGTTTGAAGCCAGGCCGGGTCAGAGTAAGCTCCCGGCCATTTGTCTAGCTTGCTGTCGACCTTTGCAGCCCAAAAGACAGTTGCATCTGTCAAGTAGGAAATGTAAGTTCTGCTTATGCAGGGAGGCTAATTTAACTAATGTACAAGGCCATAAAAATCTCCAGCAGTATGCAAAAGAGTGAGGAAGTACTCCATCGGTGTCACAAGTGGATGGTGAAGTGACGTCTCCCCCAGTGGTTGAAATTCAAGCATACCCTCATGACGCTGGAAAGTTAAATAGCCTCTGTTGTGTGTCTATGGCATTGAATGTTTGCCATGTATCTGTGCATTGTGATCCGCCCTGAGTCCCCTGCAGGGTGAGAAGAGCGGAATATAAATACTGTAAATAATAAATAAATAATAAATAAAATAAATTGCAAATCCCAGGATTCTATCGAACTGAGCCATGGCTGTGAAAGTATCAAACTCCATTAAGGTCAAGTATAGATGCACCCTATTTATTTATTTATTTATTTATTTACATCATTTCTATCCTGCTCCTTTCAGCCCGAAGGTGACTCAGGGCGGCATACAGAACCAGCACAATTAGATGCCATATATAAATGCATACATATCTCAGTTAAAAGCAATTAAATTACATCACAATACACATAAAATCCAGAGAAACAATAAAAACTATATTAATATATTCCTATTTGTGGCTAAATGAGCTCTACGATAATGAAATATAGAAGTGGTGACTCCACACTTGCAAAGTGTGCCACTTTATTCAATAACAGAAGAGGGGTGGAGGGATAATAGTCAAATTTGGAGTTGTGCTGCTATCTTTGGTGCAATCTGCAAAGTGCAGAAACGTAGGGGAAAAGGGCAAATGTAAGGTTCAGCCACAATTCCAAGATGCACATTCCCCCCTTTTTTGATGTTTATACAGTTTTTAAAAAGTGTTTATTTGGGTCAAAGAAATGTGGTAGTTGAGTCCATTTAGGGTTGTGTCAAATGACTTCCCTCTATTTCTGCTTCATTTTCCTGAACAGGGTGTATTTTATCACTGCAGGAACTTGTAATCTTTGAGGACGTGGTCATGTATTTCACAAAGGAGGCGTGCAACCTGCTGGATTTGAATCAAAGGTCTATATATAAGGAGGCCATGATGGGAAACTTTGAGAATGTTTTATCACTTGGTAAGAATGCCCTTTGTTATGAATCCATCAATTGAGCAAGTTGCACACAGCTTCTGCCTTTTGTGACTTGTTCTCTTGTCTTCCGCTGATTCAAAATCATATCCTCCAACTGTCCTAATTTAGCAGTGACCATCACAATTCTTTTTGTGTCAGGAGTGACTCGAAAAACTGCAAGTCGCTTCTGGTGTGAGAGAATTGACTGTCTGCAAGGATGTTGCCCAGGAGATGCCCGGATGTTTGATGTTTTACTATCCTTGTGGAAGGCTTCTCTCATGTCCCCGCTGTTGCACTCCAGGACAGGAACAATCCTCTGACGTTAAACACCACACATTGAATAGGAAAGAACAATCCTTTTATTGAAGATAAGTTTAAAAAAAAAGTAAAGCAAAAAGCACTTTAAAGAAATGAGTAAATCCAATTAGGTAAGAAGATAAGCAGGAACAAATTAGTCCAAGAGCAAAGTACAGCAAAGTCCATAAAAGTAAAGTCCACACAACTCCAATACAACCCAGAGAATCAGGAATACATTGATCCAAGGCTTGGGTAAGCAATCATGAAATCCAGGAATCAAAACCACGAAACAAGAAATATCTTAGCATGAATCTTTAAAGCAAGGCTTCCATGAACAAGGACAAGAACTTGGCATGATTCTAAACGATGCTTCATCTATTTATTTATCGTGTCATCCGCAACCAGAACATTGTATTACATGCTTCATCTGACTACACATCCCAAACTTGAGACTTTTATCCTCTCGTTAGCTAGGTCACTAGCTACCTTTGTATTCCTTTAATGTGTTTATTGTTGCTCCCACGGTGTGTGGTACTTGGATCATTAAGTGGGAAAATTTCATCAGTACTCCCACCCATGCATTCTTGATTTATTTCTTCTGTGGATCACACATTATGAAAGGTTTGATATCACTGGGACATGAGGCTTTCCTCAAACTGACAATTTCCATATGTATCGGACTCCAACTGTTCCCAACAGTTACACTTGGAAAAAATCCAATTAGGCAAGAATATCTTATTTAATTTTTAAATTAAAAGTAATTTGTGCAAATGAAAAAAAAACACTTGGAAACTACACAAGGGAAATTTATATATCTGTTGAATGTCCAGGGTGCAATTAATCATCTTGATTAGCTCTAAAATCAAAAAAATAAATAAAGACTGAAAACGGAGGAATTCCAGACATGAAACAATGAGGGCAAGCTAATACCTCCCAACAAAGGATTCCCCCAGGCAGCAATCAGTCAGACTTTGAAGCTACAAGGCCATTAAATGCTGATCAAGGTGGCCAATTGCGGCATTCACACCTAGCTCCAACAGATAAGAGTTCTTTCTCCCACCCTGGACATTATTCCACAGATATATACTGTAAATCCAATTTTCCTAGTTTCCAACAAACCTCACATTCTCTGAGGATGCCTGCCATAGAAAAAATGAAATGCAACGATGCAGAATGGGGGACAATGCCTGGCTTGAGAGCAGTACGTGTGAAAAAGATCTTGGAGACCTCGTGGACAAGTTAAACATGAGCCAACAATGTGATGTGGCGGCAAAAAAAGCCAATGGGATTTTGGCCTGCATCAATAGGAGCATAGTGTCTAGATCTAGGGAAGTAATGCTACCCCTCTATTCTGCTTTGGTTAGACCACATCTGGAATATTGTGTCCAATTCTGGGCACCACAATTGAAGAGAGATATTGACAAGCTGGAATGTGTCCAGAGGAGGGCAACTAAAATGATCAAGGGTCTGGAGAACAAGCTCTATGAGGAGCGGCTTAAGGAGCTGGGCATGTTTAGCCTGAAGAAGAGAAGGCTGAGAGGAGATATGATAGCCATGTATAAATATGTGAGAGGAAGCCTCAGGGAGGAGGGAGCAAGCTTGTTTTCTGCTTCCTTGGAGACTAGGACACAATGGAACAATGGCTTCAAACTACAAGAAAGGAGCTTCTATCTGAACATGAGGAAAAACTTCCTGACTGTGAGAGTTGTTCAGCAGTGGAACTCTCTGCCCCAGAGTGTGGTGGAGGCTCCTTCTTTGGAAGCTTTTAAACAGAGGCTGGATGGCCATCTGTCAGGGGTGATTTGAATGCAATATTTCTGCTTCTTGGCAGGGGGTTGGACTGGATGGCCCATGAATTCTGTGCTGTCACACACTGGGCCTGTGCATCAGACTGTAGACGGTAGATAAATTCTGTGTGCCCAACAGGACGCCGGGGCTGCCTCAGATTAAAGGCCCTTGGATTTCCTTAAAACAGAGTCTTTAGATTGCTTAAAGGTTCAACAATGTTCTTTATTGATGAAAACAAACAGGTACTTTAAAGCTTTCTTAACAGTCTATTGGTTCTCTCTCAATCTTGTCCACAGGGAACAGGCACTATCATCATAAACTGTATTTTAGCTAATAGGGAAATCCTTAACTTCTAATCTGGGCAGTCTGTCTTTGCCTCTGTTGGCGTGGAGCCCCTGCACCCGGTACCAACTGCTTCTGGCTTCCACCAAGCAGAGCTTTGTAGACTTCCAGGGAAAAAGGACTTCAGGTTTCAGTGATGGCTGACTGAAGTCCTTCAGCAAAGGAGCTGTAAGGCTGTATATCTTCCGACCAAGCTGTGGGGCTGTATCTCCCTGGCCAAACCGTAGAAGACAAAGCTTTCTACAGGAGCTCTTGGTTTTATGTCCTGCATGAAAGGCTTCTCTGTGTGGACTGAACCCAAAATGGCTCCTATTCCCTCCAAAACCCCAAAAAGGGGGCGGGACCAGGGGACCTAACTATAATTGACAGGTGGCTTGCCCTATGCTTGCAGCCAAAAGAAGCCACCTATCTGCAGAGTCCCTGAAACTTAGGACTATAACAAACATTCAATGCAAAGCAAACAAAATTGGAGCTCCTGGTACAGCTGTACCTGCACAAAGTCTCTTCCAACTCTTTGGAGCTGTGCTGCTTTGATTCTATGATTCTAGGCGAAACGTCAGGAGAGAATGCTTCTAGAACATGGCCACACAGCCCAAAAAACCTACAACAACCCAAGTTTTTTAAAGCTACAGTTCCCAGGAACGCATAGCCTTGAGCCATGGCAGTGAAAGTGCTGTCAAGCAGGAGGAAGGGAATCAACACAAAGACAGGTATGTCTCTGTTCTCTTGCCAGGAGCCTGGAACAGCCTCACCGCCACGTGACCGGAAGCGGAAGCCGCGTGTGCTGGCTGACCTAGAAAGGCTCAGACAGGGGGTCGCAGAGAAAGAGGAGGAGAGGCGCCATCAGGAAGACTCCTGGAAGGCTTTCAGAGGAAGGGGCTGCAGGTGGGGAATCCTCCCCAGCCTGGGAAGTGGGGAGAAGGTAAGAAGAGAAGAGGGAGGATTAATTGGCAGAGGAAGGGAATCAATTAAAGGGGATTAGAAGGGGGGAGGAGACTGAAGGGGGTGGAGGAAGGGAGGCAGGCCACAGAGAGGGGCCAGGGCCTCCCCTGAAGGGCTTCCCCCTCTTTGGAATCAGATTTGGCGAGAGGGTTGCCTTCCTCTTGAAAGAAAGACCATAATAATAAGGTTTCTAGAGGGTTTAATGCCTTGTCATAGGTTTTCCTGGCTAGAATCATTGGATTGCTGTGAGTTTTTTCGGACTGCATGTCCATACTCCAGTAGCATTCTCTCCTGACATTTTGCCTGCACCTGTGGCTGTCATCTTCAAAGGTCTGTTGGAAGTGAGGCAAGTAGAGTGTATGTAATTTCCTGACTGTGAGAGCCGTTCAGCAGTGGAACTCTCTGCCCCGGAGTGTGGTGGAGGCTCCTTCTTTGGAGGCTTTCAAACAGAAGCTGGATGGCCATCTGTCGGGGGTGATTTGAATGCAATATTCCTGCTTCTTGGCAGGGGGTTGGACTGGATGGCCCATGAGGTCTCTTCCAACTCTTTGATTCTATGATTCTATGATTCTATAATTATACCTGTGGAATAACCTATGGATGTGAGAGCTGTACCAAGTAGAAACAGTAAGAACTGACCATGGAACAAGAGACTGGTTCAAGATTGGGAAAGGTGTATGGCAGGGTTGTATACTCTCACCCAACCTATTCAATTTGTATGCAGAACAAGGCCAGGGTTAAAATTGACGAATGCAAGGCCAGGGTTAAAATTGCTGGAAGAAACATTAACAACCTTAGATATGCAGATGTTACCACTTTGATGAGGTCACGAAGAGTTGGAAACGAATAACAACAACCACTTTGATGGCCAAAAGCAAGGAGGAACTGAGGAGCCTTCTAACCAAGGTGAAAGAAGAAAGTGTGATAGCTGGACTGCAGTTAAAATGGCTAGAATAAATATTAACATCCTTAGATATGCAGATGATACCACATAGATGGCAGAAAGTGTGATGTGGCAGAAAAAAAAGCCAATGGGATTTTGGCCTGCATCAATAGGAGCATAGTGTCTAGATCTAGGGAAGTAATGCTACCCCTCTATTCCGCTTTGGTTAGACCACACCTGGAATATTGTGTCCAATTCTGGGCACCACAATTGAAGAGAGATATTGACAAGCTGGAATGTGTCCAGAGGAGGGTGACTAAAATGATCAAGGGTCTGGAGAACAAGCCCTATGAGGAGCGGCTTAAGGAGCTGGGCATGTTTAGCCTGAAGAAGAGAAGGCTGAGAGGAGATATGATAGCCATGTATAAATATGTGAGAGGAAGCCACAGGGAGGAGGGAGCAAGCTTGTTTTCTGCTTCCCTGGAGACTAGGACGTGAAACAAATGCAAGGCCGGGGTTAAAATTGCTGGAAGAAACATTAACAACCTCAGGTATGCAGATGACACCACTCTGATGGCCGAAAGCGAGGAGGAGCTGAGGAGCCTTCTAATCAAGGTGAAAGGAGAAAGCGCAAAAGCCGGGTTGCAGCTAAACGTCAAAAAAACCAAGATTATGGCAACAAGAATGATTGACAACTGGGAAATAGAGGGAGAAAATGTGGAGGCCGTGACAAACTTTGTATTTCTGGATGCAAAAATTATTATTATTATGTTATTTACAGTATTTATATTCTGCCCTCCTCACCCTACAGGGGACTCAGGGCGGATTACAATGTACACATATATGGCAAACATTCAATGCCAAAGACATACAACAGATATAGACAGACAGTCAGAGGCTATTTAACTTTTCTGGCCGCCAAGGGAGCTGTCGCTTTCATCGTCCATCTGGGACACTGATGAAGTACTTCCGCATTCCCACATGCTTTGCTGAAGTGCTTTGCCGGAGTCTTTTTTATGGCCTCGTAAATTAGTTAAATTAGCCTCCCCAACATGCGGAGTACCTAATTTTTCTACTTGACAGATGCATCTGTCTTTCGGGTTGCAAAGTACAGTGGCACTTATTTCTCATGCCAGTAAGGTAATGCTCAAGATCCTGCAAGGAAGACTCCAGCAATACATGGAGCGAGAGTTGCCAGATGTACAAGCTGGATTCAGAAAAGGCAGAGGAACCAGAGACCAAATTGCCAATATCCGCTGGATAATGGAGAAAGGCAGGAAATTTCAGAAAAAAACATCTATTTCTGTTTTATTGACTATTCTAAAACCTTTGACTGTGTGGATCATAATAAATTGTGGCAAGTTCTTGGTGGGATGGGCATACCAAGCCACCTTGTCTCTCTCCTGAGGAATCTGTATAAGGACCAAGTAGCAACAGTAAGAACTGACTGGTTCAAGATTGGGAAAGGTGTATGGTAGGGTTGTATACTCTCACCCAACCTATTCAACTTGTATGCAGAACACATCATGCGATGTGCGGGGCTTGAGAAATGTAAGGCTGGGGTTAAAATTGCTGGAAGAAACATTAACAACCTTAGATATGCAGATGACATATCTAAGATGGCCGAAAGCAAGGAGGAGCTGAGGAGCCTTCTAACCAAGGTGAAAGAAGAAAGTGCAAAAGCTGGATTGCAGTTAAAATTGCTGGAATGAACATTAACAACCTTAGATATGCAGATAATATCACTTTGATAGCCAAAAGTGAGGAGGAGCTGAGGAGCCTTCTAACCAAGGTGAAAGAAGAAAGTGCAAAAGCTGGGTTACAGTTTAAATTGCTGGAAGAAATATTAACAACCTTAGATATGCAGATGATACCACTTTGATGGCCAAAAGCAAGGAGGAGCTGAGGAGCCTTCTAATCAAGGTGAAAGAAGAAAGTGCAAAAGCTGGGTTGCAGCTAAAACATAAAAAAAAAAAAAAACAAGATTATGGCAACCAGACTGATTGATAACTGGGAAATAGAGGGAGAAAACGTGGAAGCAGTGACAGGCTTTGTGTTTCTAGGTGCAAAGATTACTGCAGACGCAGACTGCAGCCAGGAAATCAGAACCCGTGTCTGTTTAAAGCAAGTGTGAATGTTGCAAATTAGCAAGCTTGAATAGTATTGTTGAAGGCTTTCATGGCCTGAATCACTGCGTTGTTGTAGGTTTTTTCGGCCTATATGGCCATGTTCTAGAGGCATTCTCTCCTGACGTTTCGCCTGCATCTATGGCAAGCATCCTCAGAGATAGTGACCTCACTACGTCTGAGGATGCTTGCCATAGATGCAGGCGAAACGTCAGGAGAGAATGCCTCTAGAGCATGGCCATATAGCCCAAAAAAGCCTACAACAACCAAGGCAAAATACCGTGTAAAACTACAACTCCCACAATGCCACAACAATTAAAGAGATGTCAAACTGTATTTATTCCACAGTCTTGATAGAACCTTGGTCCATTTTGGGCAAGACTTACTTAGCTTAATACTAGACTAAGATATTATATATGATGTTCTTTGCTCAGCCTTTTATTGATGATCTGTTACATATTTCACATATGCTTGCTGTCACTCATGAATTTCATAGGGTTTTCTTAGGCAAGGATTACTCAAGGATGGTTTGGCCAGTTCCTTGCTCTGAAATGCAGCCTTCAGCAACTAGTATTCACTGGTGTCTCCTAATCAACTAACCAGGACTGGCCCAACATGGCATCCAAGAATACAAAAGATTTAGGGCAGGGGTCCCCAAACTAAGGCCCGGTGGCCGGATACAGCCCTCCAAGGTCATTTACCTGTCCCTCGCTTAGGGTCAACCTAAGTCTGAAATGACTTGAAAGCAGACAACAACAATAACAATCCTATCCCATCAGCCAAAAGCAGGCCCACACTCCCCACTGAAATACTAATAAGTTTATATTTATTAAAATTGTTCTTTATTTTAATTATTGTATTGTTTTTAAGTGTTTTTGCTCTACAAATAAGATATGTGCAGTGTGCATAGGAATTCATTCATGTTTTTTTTACAAATTATAATCCAGCCCTCCAACAGTTTGAGGGACTGTGACCTAGCCCTCTGTTTAAAAGTTTGAGGACCCCTGATTTAGGGCATTTAGTACCTTAAATGTTGAGGTACGTATTTCTTTTCATTCAACACTTTGCCATCTGGCATTATAGTTTCTGCAGGTCTTTGAATGTCAAAGTTTGGAAGATTAGTTGTGCTGGGGTGATGGGATGGATGAGCACAGCAGGAGTGACCTGGTTTATTCTTCCCAACTCCTTCTGATTCTCAGCTCCTCTAATTAGAATTGGAGAGGATCTTGGAAAGGAATGGGTTGCTTTTCTGCTTTCTTGTTTTGCATCTTTTTAAAACCCTTAACCTGAAACAATGTGCAGCAGTGAAGCATTCGTATTGTGTTTCTTGTGTGTGCATTTAACTTGCCTTCCAAGTGTTTTAGGACTCCATCTATTAAATGTCCTTTGACCAGTAGCTGGCCACTTGGAGTGCCTCTGGTGTTGCTGCAAGAAGGTCCTCCATTCTGCATGTGGCAGGGCTCAGGTTGCATTGCAGCAGGTGGTATGTGGTTTGCTCTTCTCCACACTCGCATGTCATGTATTCCACTTTGTGGCCCCATTTCTTAAGGTTGGTTCTGCATCTTGTGGCACCAGAGCACAGTCTGTTCAGCGTCTTCCAAGTTGCCCAGTTTTCTGTGTGCCCAGGACGGAGTCTCTCATTTGATATCAGCCATTGATTGAGGTTCTGGGTTTGAGCCTGCCACTTTTGGACTCTCGCTTGCTGAGGTGTTCCTGAAAGTTTCTCTGTAGATCTTAGAAAACTATTTCTTGATTTAAGTCATTGGCGTGCTGGCTGATACCCAAACAGGGGATGGGCTGGAGATGTCACTACCTTGGTCCTTTCACTATTGGTTGCTACTCCCTGGCGGATGTCAAGTGGTGCAATACCAGCTAAACAGTGCAAATTCTCCAGTAGTGTTGGGCGCAGACACCCCGTGATAATGTGGTATGTCTCATTAAGAGCCACATCCACTGCTTTAGCGTGGTGAGATGTGTTCCACACTGGGCATGTATACTCAGCAGCAGAGGAGCATAGCGCAAGGGCAGATGTCTTCACTGTATTTGGTTTTAATAGAATAATAGAATATCAAGCCTGCAAACTTTGTGTTTTGTTTGTTTGTTTGTTTTTAATGCAATACAACTGTTTTGGTTCGCTCCTGACACGATAAATAAATAAATAAATAAGGACTCCATCTTCCATCAGGGGAAATCTGATGGAATGAGGGGAATGCAATTGATTTTTTAACCTTCAGTTGCCCCTCTCCTGCTCGCCATGTCTCCTGAAGTGCTGCAATATCGATGTTAAAGCACTTCAGCTCCATTGCAATCGTAGCAGTCCTGGGTTCAGGGTGTTCATTGTCTGTATTATCCAACAGTGTATGTACCAAAGTTCTGACTATGTTTAGGGCAGCTTTTTTAGCCTCCTCTCCTTATTCTTTATTTATTTAAAACATTTATATTCCACCCTTCTCACCCCGAAGGGGACTCAGGGCGGAGCACAGCACATGCACGGCAAACATTCAATGCTGGGACACAAATTCGTATATACATACATACAAAACATTACAAACATTGATCATAATATTAAAATACACCATTTGAAACCATCCTAGTCATCCACGTCATATCTAATTGGCCTGGTAATCTTTCCTATTGCTGCTTTATTGTCCTGTCTCGAAAGCCTGGTCCCACAGCCAGGTTTTTACCATCCTTCTAAAGGACAGGAGAGAGGGGGCCGACCTGCTCTCACCAGGAAGGGAGTTCCATAGCCAGGGAGCAATCACCGAGAAGGCCCTGTCTTTCGTCCCCACAAATCATGCCTGTGACAATGGCGGGACGGAAAGCAGGGCCTCCCCGGAGGATCTTAATCTCCGTGATGGTTCATTTGGACAGGTAATTTGGGCCACGGCCATTTAGAGCTTTATAGGCCAAAGCCAGCACTTTAAATTGTGCCTAGTAGCAAACTGGCAGCCAGTGGAGCTGGCATAACATGGGAGTTGTATGCTCCCTATATGCCACCCCAGTTATTAACCTGGCTGCCTCTCGTTGGGCTATTTGAAGCTTCCGAACCATCTTCAAAGGTAATCCCACGTAGAGTGTGTTGCAGTAGTCCATCCTAGATATAACGAGAGCATGGACCACCAGAGTGGATCCTAAATAGGGCTTCTCAGTTGTGGATATAGCTGCCGAACTACTCAACTTCCTCGGAACTTGAGATGGATGACTGACTCCATATCCACCGCCCATGTGCCAGTCTGTGACTAGGGGTTTCCAGATTTCTCAGTCCTGTTGATATCACTACTTGCTGATCGTCATGGGATATTTATTGGTTTTCTTTTCTTTTTCTTGGAAAATGCCTATCATGGATTTTTGTGTGTGTGGAGATCAGTTCACATCCATCAACACACATAATGAGGGTCCTATCCAGTGGCATGGTTAGCCTGGCAATCGGTGGCTTCTTACCTGTTGCAGCCTTCTTCCACCTTCCCAGTTGTTCTAACATGTACCAAATCATTATCCGCTGAAAAACTCACCTTATACTCAAGTATATATGGTAATTGTTTAAATTTTAATTTTAGAATGCAATACAATATAATTGAGTCCCCTCCGGGGTGAGAAAGGCAGAGTAGAAATGTCGTAAATAAATAAATATAAGTACTGCAAGGCATATATAGCAGAGATAGTGTAAGATATATTATGTGTTATGAGACTTATGCAAGAATAAAAATAAAAAAATACCTTTAAAAAAATCTGTGAGGTTTGGTTATGTCAAAGGTGCCTCTACGCATTAGAACGAATACTGTTTAACACCATTTTCACTTCCATGGCACAATATCCTGGAGTCTTTCGATTTATAGCTCGGAGAAGCACCAGAACTCTTTGGCAGAGAAGCTGAAGACCTCGTAAAGCCACTCCTCCAGTGATTCCGTAACATTGAGCCATGGTTGTTAAAAAGATATCAAACTGCGTTAATTCTGTATTATAATAGATGTACCCAAGACAGCCTCTTTGCATATGAACTTTCCCGTGCTTTTATGGAGCCACTTAAAGTCTCGTCTGTGGGCATTGTGTCTGTGTGTCCTGAATGAAAACCTTTTTTAAAATAGCTGCGTGACATAGACTGCAGAACATATTCCAGTAGAGGCTTTGTTCTCTGCTTAGTCCTGACAAATCTGCCTTTGAAGATCGTGTTTGGGATGGATAATACCTGACCTACTTTTCCGAGACATATTTTGTGTGGACAGTTTGAGGAGAAAGATTATCATTCTGAAATCTATATAAATAAAAATGTTATGTTCGTTTGTGGGATTAACGTAACTCAAAAACCACTGGACAAATTGACACCAAATTTGGACCCAATGCACCTATCAGGCCAATGAGTGACCATCACTCATAAAAACACTGAAAAACACAGTGGAAGGGACTTAAAAACAAAAAAAAAAGCAAAAAGATGCTACAGCACATGTGCAAAAATGACTTCCCCGCCAAACAAAACAACAATAGCATATCCACACTCTCTTCCAGACTACAGCTCCCAGCATCTCCTAGAGGAGGCCCTTTAGGAGGATGATCCAAATGCACTGCTTCAGAGATGCAAGCTTTCTTCTACTTGGATTTCTTTGAGAGCATCCCAATTCCTGCATATTTCCAATTTACTATTCCTGGAGTGCAACTCCCAGCAATCATCCAGATAGATAGATTCGATGAAGGTAGGTAGGTAGGTAGATCGATCTGGAGGACAGCTGGGAGTTGCAGTCCAAGAATAGGTAGAGAAGGAGAAAAGGGGAGAAAGAGGAAGGGAAAGAAAGGGGAGGGAAGGAAGGAGAGAAAGAAAGAAAGGGAGGGGTGAAAGGTTGGCTACAGCAATGCGTGGTAGGTACAGCTAGTATGTTATAATCATGAATTCATATTTTCACAATTGTTGGTCTTTCTAGGAGTTAAGATATCCATTACTCCTGAGCAGCCTTGTCCTTTTGGCCTTTGAGGGAAACGATCCCACAGAAGCACTAAAAAAGATAAATTATTATAAATTCCATAGTTAATAGTTTACTGCCTTTTTATGAGTGCCTTCCCTGTTACCTGCCAGATTACCACTGCAGAGAAAGGCTCATCTTGGATGAAAGTGGAAGTGGGTCATCCATTTTTAGATCCTTTTCTATGCTTCAGGATTTTTCCTCACAGTTTATGTCCTATAAATGTGTTTAGATACAAGGCTTGCTTTACAGTGGAATGACACTGCTGGTTTGGCATAAATTAAAACAAGAATAAAGTGAAATCAGCAATAACAAGAAAGAATGGGTCTAGAAGTATGGTGAGTCAAGTAGTGGCAGCTTGGTTTACTTTCATATTTGCTGGGCATTGGTCCCCTTTCTTTTCTGCAGATGCTGTAGGAATTGATATGCTCACCTTGTCTTAGGAGGAAAAAAATCCCACCTTCATTTCTGTGTTGCTGCAACCATTGCATGTTGTTGTTTATTCATTCTGTTGCTTCCAACTCAGATCTGTGTTTTCCCTACAGCAGAAACTGATTCCCTGCAAATACATATCGTGACTCCAAAACGCACTCCTTCCTCGTCCCTTGAGAAAAGGAGCCCAAAGTGTATAGAACCCTGCTTTCCCATAGCAGATCTGACACTCTCCATACACCATCTCTGTCCTTCCTGCTTTCTCTCATACTGGAGAATTATTAGATTGAGTATTTTATAGGAATATTCTGCTGATGTAGTAAGTAATTGTCCTGTCTGAAATTACCTTGAGTCTTCACCTCCTGACATAGATGTTTGTCTTCAGGTAATGAACCATTGTGTTCTGGGTTTGACTTGAAAGAGCATTGTCTTTGACTAATGTAAACAGAGTTAATCTGGTTTCTGGTCAGCAAATGTTAACAGATGTGTCTTATCCCTATCACAGTTTACTTTTCAGTTCTCATTAGTAACTTTTAATTACTGTCCATCAAGCTGGTCATTACAGACCTTAATCTTTTAGAATGGTGTCTCCAAATAATTAGTTCTCATTCATTCACCTTTCATACAATTCCACTCAAACCATATATCATATTATGACACTAACCTCATAGACATGATTGAAAATCTGTAATTATTTTTGGGACTATCATGAGATTGAGAAGGGAGCCTCCCCCTGTGTTCCAAGAAGGGATTTTGTTAATTGACAGTATATTTTAGGCTTCTGCAAATTCACAGATGGCAAGAAGATTGTTTGTATTGAACTGAAAGCCTCTTGTATATGGATAGATTCATTGTTAGAAAAAAAGAGTCTAAATTTGTTCAGTTTGGTGTGTGCTATGTATGTCATGTCCTAATAGCCACTTGAATACCACCTCTCCCTTTTTACTTGCAGAAAAATTCTTTTCCTTGTCAATCCTGGTTTGATCTCCTGACTTGAGCAATAACTGTGGCTGCCAGATCAAGTCGTCATGGAGAAAATGAAGGTTGCCACTCAGCACAATGCAGGTGAGGAAGCAAAAACCACAACTTATAGGTAACATGTTCCTATTTATATCTACAGAAGGCTTGTGAGAATATGTGACCCTCTGGAATTCGTTGGACTACAAACCCAGAGCCACGTATGAAGGACAATGAAGATTTATTTCTTTATTTCATACATTTGTACCCCGTCCTTTTCATCCTCGAGAGGAGACTCAGGGCAGCTTCACAACAGGCACTCGTTTAGTGCCATCCACATTCATAAAAATACATTTAAAACAATTCATTAAAACATTTCATTAATAAGGCATTTGTTTAAAATCACACAGATTTGAAATCCAAGTCTGGGTCAGTCCATTATCATTCCTATCACTTGAGTCTTATTTTCGATTGCTGCCTCTATCGTTCAAACGCTTGGTCCCTTAACCATGTTTTGAGATTCTTTCTAAAAGACAGGAGGGAGGTAGCCAATCTGATATCACTGGGGAGTTCCACAGGCGAGAAGACATAGCCCAACAGCTTCTTGAAGGTCCAGCATTTCCTATTCTAGCCCTAGAATTTGCCATGGAAACCAGTTCCCTCTTTTTTAGGGCAGAGGATCAATCTGTCTCCAATCTAAACCTCATTTTCTAACTTATTTTTCTTCCTCAGCACTTCCTGATGTGACTGTCAAACTGGAAGAAGGAGAAGAGGAAGAGGAGGAGGATCTGCAGCAGGAGTCAGAGCCCTTTTTAGAAATCAATTCAGGTGAGGGCCATGTATAAATATGTGAGGGGAATTCAAGGGAGGAGGAAGCAGGCTTGTTTTCTGCTGCCCTGGAGACTAGAATGCGGAACAGTGGCTTCAAACTACAGGAAAGGAGGTTCCACCTGAACATTAGAGCCCCAGAATGCAGTCTGTTCAGCGCCTTCCAAGTCGCCCAGTCCTCTGTGTGCCCAGGAGGGAGTCTCTCATGTTGTGAACATATTTGTATTAATTGATGTCATTCAGAAACCTTTTACTGTCACCAAATCTTTAGTGAGCCAGACATTGAGTTAAGGGGACCCCATTTGGGTTTAGGACCCACAGTTTAAGAAGTGCTTTACGTCTTGAATGAAAACACGTTCTTTTGTTTTTGAGGCCAGGAAAGCAGTCTAATTCCCTTTCTGTTGCTCAGATTTTCCTGATGTGATAATCAAGCTTGAACCAGAAGAGGACTCCTCCAGTGAACAGCAGACAGAAGACGAGACCTTTCCAGGGATAAGTTCAGGTAACTTGTACAGCAGTGTGAGAAAACCCATTTTCTCAGTGATATCTTACCATGTTGTTTAGTTGAGAGAAACCTTTTTGCATCATGTACTTGATTCTGAATCTTGCTGATCAGACCACACCTGGAATCACACTGTGTCCAATTCTGGGCACCGCAATTGAAGGGAGATGTTGACAAGTTGGAATGTGTCCAGAGGAGGGTGACTCAAATGATCAGGGGTCTGGAGAACAAGCTCTATGAGGAATGGCTTAAAGAGCCTGGTATGTTTAGCCTGCAGAAGAGAAGGCTGAGAGGAGACATGATGAGGGCCATGTATGTGAGGGGAAGTCATAGGGAGGAGGAAGCAAGCTTGTTTTCTGCTGCCCAGGAGACTAGGACGCAGAACAATGGCTTCAAACTACAGGAAAGGAGATTCCACCTGAACATTAGTAACTGCAAGAGCTGTTCAACAGTGGAACTGTCTGCCCCAGAGTGTGGTGGAGGCTCTTTATTTGGAGGTTTTTTTTTTTAATCTGTCGGGGGTGCTTTGAATGAGATTTTCTTGGCAGGGGGTTGGACTGGATGGCCCATGAGGTCTCTTCCAACTCTATGATTCTATGATGATCTTCAGTATGGTTCTGGGGCTTGCCATTGTCAGTAGTTTAAGTATTTTTGTAAGCTTTAATGTCATTATCAAAGTCTGTATTATTAAACTTTCTTTCCTGCAGACCATGCTGCTAATTTTATGTGCTTTTCTGAGACAGTAATTCTTTGTGGTCATTAAGTCATTGCATTTGGTGTGAACATCTAAGTTATCTTATTTCTTTGATTATTTATACCCCGCCCTTCTCCCCATGGGGACTAACAATCACACAGTGTGATCATAGTTTAAAAAAGCAAATACAAAAATAAAAAATACCCAACCATATAGTAGTGCATTTAGAACTTACAATCCCCACCAGAACTTCCCCAGTAGTGTGCCCTCATTGTTTGTTGTTTATTTGTTCAGTCGCTTCCGACTCTTTATGACCTAATGGACCAGCCCACGCCAGAGCTCCCTGTCAGCTGACACCACCTCCAGCTCCTTCAAAATCAAGCCATTCACTCCAAGGACACCATCCATCCATCTTGCTCCCTCATCCTTCCCCAAATGCCTGCTGGAAGAGAAAGGACTTTCTCTTACAGAGGGAGGACATCCCTTCTATTGCGTCAGCTCCACTGGTTGCCAGTCTGCTACCAAACACAATTCAAAGTGCTGGCTTCAGCCTATAAAGTCCTAAATGGTTCTGGCCCAGCTTACCTGTCCGAACATATCTCCCTCTATGATCCTCCTCGGAAGCTAAGATCGTCTGGGGAGGCCCTACTCTCAGTCCCACCCCCCCTTGCAAATGTGACTGGTGGGGACGGGACACAGGCCCTTCTCAGTGGTGGCCCCTCGTCTATGAAAATCCCACCCTTGTGAGATTAGATCAGCCCCCTCCCTCCTGGCCTTCAGAGAGAGAGAAAACTAAAAACATGGCTTTGGGATCAGGTGTTTGGTCAATAATGGAAGCATGATAATAAGATATTGTAAATTAACTTAATGACGACCAATACTGGCTCTGGAATATTACCTGGATTATATGATTTTAATTGTTGTTTTAATGTTATGTTTAATTGGTTGGTTTTAATGTTTTTTCTTTATTCATTGATGTATGTATACATGTGGCACTGAATTGTTGCCTTGCAAGGCCAAAGTTCCCTTTGGGGTTGAGAAAGGTGGAATACAAGTATGGTAAATAAATAAGAAAAAAAGTTTGTCTGCTTGCAGTTTGCTTAGTTAGATCAGCACAGAGCTTCAATTGCTGTTTAAGCCTAAAGGTTTTCCTCTCTCACTTCCTTTCCCTCTTATGTTAATTCTGCAGCGGAATTTTCACGCGTCAAGACTGATCTGATCTCCTGGCTGGAACAGAGCCCATGGTTGCCAAACGCCCTCATTTTGGAGAAGATGGAGGTTGCTTCTCAATGCAACACAGGTGAACAAAAGTACATGTTTGAACTCCGTTCTAGTTTAGGCAGAGCCAGTGTGATGTGTACTGAACTAGGACTCTTGAGAGACCAGGGTCTGAATCCATGCTCAACCATGGAAACCTACTGGGTGATCTTAGGCAAGTCCTACTCTTCTCAGGCTTCATCTACACTGCCATATACTGCAGTTGTCATAATGCAGTTTAACTGCATTGAACTATGTTATATGGCAGTGTAGACTCATATAATGCAGTTAAACTGCATTATGGTACAGTGTTCCCTCTCTACTTCGTAGTTCGCTTTTCACGGACTCGCTTTTTCGTGGTTTTTCAATAAATATGAATTTAAAATATTTATTGAAAATATTTTAAATATCCCCCCCCCCACACACACACACACACACACAACTTCCTTTCCTTCTCCCCTGCAACTTCCACACACCCTCTCAGCCCTGAATGCTGAGTCTCGCCTGTTACCTGTGAGGACCCTCACGCGGATTTGGTGGTCGTGGTTGGTTAAAATCATGTACTCCAATGCCATGTTTCCCAGTGCAGCCACCGCACTGACAGGGAGCCGGGTGGGGGGAGCCATGACGGCGGGGGGAGGAGGAGGAAGAGGTGGAGGAGGGGAGGAAGATGAAGAAGGAGTGCACGAGCAAGGAAGGAGGAGGGGAAGAGGAGGAGTGGGAGCCAGGCACATGAGGAGGAGCCAGCGGGAAGGGTGGTGTGCAAGGGTAGGGGGGAGGGGAGGGAGGGGAAAGGAGGAGAGGAAAGAGAAGGTGACAGGATTGAGTGAGAGAGAGGCAGAGGGGAAGGGGAGAGAGGAGTGGGCAGTTTAAAAGTTGCTGCTCAACTAAAGTGACTGAAGGATTTTGTTTATAAAGTAAAGGAAAAGGGTTATGTAGTGTATAAGTGTGAGGGGAGGGTTTATAAAGACTTAAAATAGTGTATAACTACTGAAAAAATGTATAAATCTATATAAATAAAAATGCAATGTTCATTTGTGGGATTAACATAACTCAAAAACCACTGGGCGAATTGACACCAAATTTGGACAGAATACACCTATCAGGCCAATGAGTGACCATCACTCATAAAAACATTGAAAAACACAGCAGAAGAGACCTAAAAAGCAAATAAATAATAATAATTACAGCGCATAGTCAAAACCACATATATATATATATACACACACAACACATATACACAGACTGGGCCACAGCAACATGTGGCAGGGGACAGCTAGTATTAAAATAAATATAGTGTCTCTACTTTGCGGATTTTCACTTGGTCATGGGGGTTCTGTGTTCGAAGTTTGGCCCAATGTTATTGTTGATGGGGTTGAGAATGCTCTTTGATTGTAGGTGAACTATAAATCTCAGCATCTACAACCAACTGTCAAGGTCTATTTTCCCCCAAACTCCTCCAGTGTTCACGTTTGGGCATTTTGAGTATTCATGCCAAGTTTGGTCCAGATCCATCATTGTTTGAGTCCACAGTGCTCTCTGGATGTAGGTGAACTACAACTCCAAAACTCAAGATCAGTGCCCACCAAACCCTTCCAATATTTTCTCTTGGTCATGGGATTTCTGTGTGCCAAGTTTGGTTCATTTACATCGCTGGTGAAGTTCAGAATGCTCTTTGCTTGTAGGCGAACTATACATCTCAACAACTACAACTCCCAAATGACAAAATTCAATCCTCCCAACCCCACCAGTATTCAAATTTGGGCATATTGGGTATTTGTGCCAAATGTGGTCCAGTGAATGAAAATACATCCTGCATATCCGATATTTACATGACAATTCATAACAGTAGCAAAATTACAGGTATGAAGTAGCAACAATAATGTTATGGTTGGGGGTCACCACCACATGGGGAACTGAATTAAGGGGTTGCGGCATTAGGATGGTTGAGAAACACTGATCTAAATCCTTCTATCTTACCCTTTTTTATTATTAGCATTTCCTGGTGGCGCAGTCAAGGTGGAACAAGAAGAGGAACCATGTCGTCCAAATCTCCAGGACTCTGAGGTCATCCCTGGAACCAGCTCAGGTGAAGTCTACGGGCTGCTAAGGGCCTTTCCCTGCCTATCCATTGTACTAAATCTTGAATGACGGCCAAATGTTTTTTGTCAAGGTGGCTCATTTTCTCAGTACTTAACCCTTCGATGTTATTTTGCTGAGGAAACAGTTTGTATATCTTTGTTATGGTCGTCAGTGTGTTCTCGGTGACAGAAATTGATAATAAAAACAGAGTTGGAAGAGACCACAAGGGCCATCAGTAGGGCTTTCTGAATGACCAGTTCCATTGACATGCAGATTGATACCACTTTAATTGCCATGGCTCAATGCTGTGGAATCATGGGAGTTGTAGTTCTACAAAGTTTTTAGCCCTTTCTGCCAAAAAGTGCTGGTGTCTCACCAAGCTGTAAATCCTAGGATTCCATAGCAGTTAATATAGTGTCAAACACACCCTATATATGTTGGTGCCATGTTGTTATCAAAACTCTGATATCCTTTTAACTTTACTGCTAACAGTACAGGGAACTCTTGGTACGTGAAGTACATTTATTTATCATGTCAGAAGCTAATTGAGAGTACAGCTGTAATGTATTTAAAAACACAAACAAAGTGTATTTTTAAATACATTACATTTAGCATTATGCTAAATGTCCTTTGACCAGTAGCTGGCCACTTGGAGTGCCTCTGATGTTGCTATAAGAAGGTCCTCCATTGTGCATGTGGCTGCATTGTAGTAGGTGGTCTGTGGTTTGCTCTTCTCCACACTCGCATGTCGCGGACTTCACCCTGTAGCCCCATTTCTTAAGGTTGGCTGTGCATCTTGTGGTGCCAGAGTGCAGTCTGTTCAGCCGCCCAGTCTTCTGTGTGCCCAGGAGGGAGTCTCTCATTCAGGATCAGCCATGGATTGAGGTTCTGGGTTTTAGCCTGCCACTTTTGGACTTTTGTTTGCTGAGGTATTCCTGTGAGTATCTCTGTAGATCTTAGAAAACTATTTCTTGATTTAAGTTTTTGTCATGCTGGCTGATACTTGAACATGGGCCGGAGATGTCAATGCCTTGGTCCTTTCATTGCTGGCTGCTACTTCCCGGCAGATGTCAGGTGGTGTTAGCTAAACAGTATAATTTATCCAGTGGTGTTGGGCATAGACATCCTGCGATAATGCGGCATGTCTCATTAAGAGCTACATGCACTGTTTTAATGTAGTGAGATGTGTTCCACACTGGGCATGCGTATTCAGCAGCTGAATACCAAAGCGCAAAGGCAGATGTCTTCACTGTGCCTGGTTGTGATCCCCAGGTTATGCCAGTCAACTTTTGTATGATATTATTTCTAGCACCCACTTTCTGCTTGATAGTCAAGCAGTGCTTCTTGTACATCAGAGCACAGTCCAGGGTGACTCCCAGGTATTTGGGTGTGCTGCAATGCTCCAGTGGGATTCCTTCCCAGGTAACCCTCAGAGCTCGAGATACTTGTCTGTTCTTAAGATGAAAAGCACACGTCTGTGTTTTAGATGGATTAGGAATCAACTGGTTTTCCCTGTAGTAGGCAGTAAGAGCACCTAAAGCTTCAGAGAGCTTCTGTTTAGCCATTTCAAAGCTCCCTGCTTGGGCAACTTGCAGCATGCGACCAAACAATGAAGCACATGCGATCCTACTTATTTAATTGAAAAGTTGGTATTGAAGACAAAATTCATAGGGAAAGAACGGGGTCAGGTTTCTAAACCACAAAAAGGAAGAGTATTTCAACACTGGGTTGTTGTAGGTTTTTTCGGGCTGTATGGCCATGTTCTAGAGGTATTCTCACCTGACATTTTGCCTGTATCTATGGCAAGCATCCTCACTACCTCTGAGGATGTTTGCCATAGATGCAGGCAAACCGTCAGGAGAGAATGCCTCTAGAATATGGCCATATAGCCCAAAAAAACCTACAACAACACAGTGATTTCGGCCATGAAAGCCTTCGACAGTATTTCAACACAATTTCAGCATTTTGATATCGACAGTGAGTCCTGGAACCAAATTCCAGTAGATACCAAGGATCACTGTATTAGGTGGTTTCACCTATATGAGGTCCACTGTAAATGTGTCAGCAGAAGGCTTTCTTCTCATCTCCCCCCAGGTTTTCCTTTCTCTTTTGAGTATGTTTTTCTCAATGTCAAACGCTCTCTGTGACAGAGAAGAAGTGCCCTTTCTCCTGCTTCCTCATAAGTTTTGTTCTTCTCTGATTCACAGAGTTGGAAATGGGGTTTCGGTCTCAACCCGAAAAGAAAGTGGTTGAAGCAGGTCAGGTAAGAAGCACTTTTTTCACAGAGTGGTGGGTTTATGATGGAGGTAAAAAGCAGCAAATTTGGAAACCTGTTGGAATTCCTGCAGCCACAGAATTCCTCAGCAGTTCCAAAGTCCAGAAGAGACCTATCTGATCTCCAGATCTGGGTCTCTATCCAAATTGTCTGCAATGGGTGAGGCAGCGTGGAGTCTTCATGAGCCCTCCAAAATTGATATGACCATTGCATGCCTTCTAGTCATTTCCAGCTTACAGTAAACCCCAAGATGAACCCATTATGCAATGGATTTGGAGTAACACTGCCTTTGGGCCTCTGACCAGTGGAAGTCTCCTTCCTTGCCTTGAAGGACAAGATGGTAAAACGTTCTCTCTCTTTATAGACCTTGCCTCTGAGCAGTAAGATGCATCACAGCCCAATATCTTCTGGAAGGCCTCATATGCATTGTCCCTGTCTTACTACAGTACTTACTACTCAATACTTACTACTGTAGAAGTATTGAAATATTTATCTATCCTTCACAAAACATTTAGCTTTGATAAAACAAATGACTTATGTGTTTATGTATTTATGCTGGGCTTCAAGATCCATTAGAAACTACAGATTGAGTATTCTTTTCCTTAAATATTTTCAGAGAATAGTGCAGTGCAATAACAGATTTGAAAGATGTGCAATGACTATGGCTAGGACTTGGATTACGATTATGGATAGTGTGATTTTAATAATAATAATAATAATAATAATAATAATATATTTATACCCCGCTCCATCTCCCCCAGGGAGACTCGGTGCGGCTTACAAGAGGCCACACCCATCAATACAGTATACACAATATAATGCAAAAACATAATAGCAACAAAAAATTACATAGAATGCAAAACCAACATAATAAATGACACAGCAATATAAAATCAAACATTAAAAACACAGAATATTTCACTGGGCAAGGCGAAATTGAAGGATAAAATTTTAAAACACCGGGAGATAGGACAAAATAAGTTATAGGGAAGGGGATCTGGGAATGAGGAGGATTTAATTGCACTAACCATAAAATAAAGTGCTTCTAAGGACATTTTGTGCAAAATATGAAATATAATGTTTTTAAATGCTTAATATGTATTTTTTATTTAATTTTAATATTATAGCAATTGTATGCCGCTTTGAGTCCCTTTTGGGGTAGAAAAAGGCAAGGTATAAACAGGGTATCCCAGTGGGTTAAAGTGCTGAGCTGCTAAACTTGCTGACCGAAAGGTCACAGGTTCAAATCCGGGGAGCGGCATAAGCACCCACTGTTAGCCCCAGCTTCTGCCAACCTAGCAGTTTAAAAACATGCAAATGTGAGTAGATCAATAGGTACCACTCTGGCGGAAAGGTAACGGCGCTCCATGCAGTCATGCCAGCCACATGACCTTGGAGGTGTCTCTGGACAATGCCGGCTCTTTGGCTTAGAAATGGAGATGAGCACCAACCCCTAGAGTCGGACATGACTGGGCTTAATGTCAGGGGACAACCTTTACCTTTATCTTAAATAAATAATATATTACAGGGCTTTCTTGGCAAGATTTGTTCAGGGAGGGAGTTGCCTTAGCTTTCCTCAGAGGCCGAGGAACGGTTACTTGTACAGGATTTCAGTGGGTTTCTGTGGCCAAGATAGGATTTGAACTCTGATCTCCCAGAATCCTTGTTCAGTGCTTAAATCACTAGGCCGTTCTAGCTCTTCCAGATCATTATAGTAACTCTGAAGTGGTTTACAACTCACACGTTGGGAAACATGGAAGAACTTATATGTGTAGTTACACTTAAGTGCTAAGTGTTGGTTAAGTCAGTGTTTATTGATTTGAGTATTGTTTTGGACTCAGAAAAGCAGGATTCAAATCTTGTGTTCATTTAATATTGCTGTAATTTGGAAATAGGTGGCACAGTGGGTTAAACCATTGAGTTGCTGAACTTGCTGACCAAAAGGTCAACAGTTTGAATCTGGGGAGCTGGGTGAGCACCCGTTGTGAGCCTCAGCTTCTGCCAACCAAGTAGTTCAAAAGCATGCAAATGTGATTAGAGCAATAGGCACCACTCTGGCGGAAATGTAATGGCGCTTCAGATAATGCTGGCCACATAACCTAGGAGGAATCTATGGACAACGCCAGCTCTTAGCTTAGAAATGGAGCTGACTACCACCTCCCAGAGTTGGACATGACTAGAATTAATGTCAAGAGGAAAGCTTTACCTTTACTTAAGTTGTAAATAACTTTGAGGCATACAACGACAACTTGCCATTCTGTACCTCAAGGAGGACTCAATTGTTCTTCGTATTACTCTCTTTATATGCCTGAGGTTCATTTTGTCTTAATTATTTCTGGGAAATCTTTTTCTGCATGTTCTTTCCAAGGCTTATAAACCCTTCAGAGTGAGTTTGACTTCTTTAAATGAACATTAATGGACAACAAGACATAACACACTGGAGACAGGCAGATATTATGTCCACTTTCTAAAGAAGATGAAAAAGAGGGCTTGGGGAACTGCTGATTAATTAGCTTGATATAGATACGAAGAAAGGTTCTAGAACAGACCATTAAACAATTGGTCCGTGAAGACTTCAAAAGTTGTCTTTTGATCTGCCCACTCCACTCCTGAGTCTGTCTAGTTGCCCATTCTTGGTTTGTGATCTGTGATGCAATGGAATGTATTTTTTCAATATCCCCATTTGCATTCCCCTTTGTGTTGCAGGAAGTCACCTTTGAAGACGTGGCTGTAAATATCAGCAAGGAAGAGTGGGACCTCCTGGATCCAAATCAGAGATCTCTGTACATTGATGTTATGATGGAAAACTATGAGAATCTCTCCACATTGGGTAAGGAATTCACTTCCCGCTAACTCTGTAGTCCTTTTTATTGCCCATCAGCTATGGAATTGCTTCCTATGAATTGCTGTCTTGCTGCAGCCAGAAAGTCACTTTTCTCTTCAGTTTCTCTCATGCACTCTCACCTCTTTGTTAGAAATGGGTTAGGCCTCCCTCTGAATCACCAGGCAGGCAGAGATGACACTTCTTTGTCTGACAGCAAGCCAATGAAAAATGCTGTGATCTAGTAACTTTTGTGGATAATTAACATGGCTGTGTTATTCTAGTTCAATATGCAAAGGATTCTCAAAGTATGGTGTAAACTAACGGAGAAAGAAGTTGGAAGCAGGAGTTTTTGCAAAATTACCGTATATACTCGAGTATAAGCTGAGTTTCTCAGCCCCTTTTTTAGGCTGAAAAAGCCCCAGCGGCTTATAATTGAGTCTAGGTTCTTTGTTATTTTACTCTGTTATTATTACATTTTTTTATTTTCTCTATTTATTATTATTATTACATTTCTCTATTTATTGTTATTATTACATTTATTATTTAACTATTACTGTTTTATTACATTTATTATTTTACTTGTTTTATTGTTATTATTACTGTATATACTCGAGTATAAGCCTAGTTTTTCAGACCTTTTTTGGGCTGAAAAAGTCCCTCTCGGCTTATACCCGAGTCAAGGTTATTTATTATTTTACTCTGTTATAAATACGTAATAAATGTATTATTATTATTATTATTATTATTATTATTATTATTACTACATTTATTATTTTACTTTATTGTTGTTGTTATTACATTTATTATTTTACTCTATTACTATTATTATTATTATTATTACATTTATTATTTTACTCTATTCATTTTTATTGGAAGGGTACGCAAGCACATTTATATTGAAGAAGGTCAGAATGGTTTAATCAGAGTTGAACAGTCTTATCTTTAATTACAGTTTTATGTAAATATTCAAAAACATATAACCTCCTGATGCCTCAATTAATGTAATTTTATTGGTATCTATTTTTATTTTGAAATTTACCAGTAACTGTTGTATTTCCCATCCTCGGCTTATACTCGAGTCAATCTCTTTTCACAGTTTTTGTGGTAAAATTAAGTGCATCGGCTTATATTCGGGTCAGCTTATACTCGAGTATATACGGTACATTTGTGATTTTACTCTATTTTACTCTATTATTACATTTATTTTACTCTATAATCATTATTATTACATTTATTATTTTACTCTATTACTGTTGTTATTATGTGCATTGTTTTACTCTATTTATTATTATTACATTTATTATTTTACTCTTTTTATTATTTTTATTATTTCATTTGTTATTTTACTCTATTATTGTTATTATTACATTTTTATTTTACTCTATTATTTAAAAAAATCACAGTTTAAAAACACAAGTTAATGTAACAGGTATAGAACCGAGAGGGGGAAGACTGATAGGAGAGGTCAAAGTCCTGGGGGGGGGGGGGGGGGCACAAGTCTAGTAGCATTTCAGCTATACCAGGTTGCTCTAACTACATTCCTGACAGGGTGTTGCCTTGTGGGGTCAATCATCATCCGTCTAATTTGAAGTGCTGCAGCACAAAATTTAGCAACACTATAAGTTATTGCAGTGCTAGAGTCTATTATTGTTATTATTACATTTACAGTATTTTAGACTATTACTATAATTTTATTACATTTATTATTTTACTCAATTTATTATTGTTGTTTATTACATGTATTATTTTACTCTATTGTTATTATTACATTTATTATTTTACTCTATTTATTATTATTGTTTATTGCATGTATTATTTTACTCTATTATCTTTATTACATTTATAATTTTACTCCCTTTATTATTATGGGAAGGATACGTAAGCACATTTACATTGAAGAAGGGTAGAATAATGGTTTAATCAGAGTTGGACAGTCTTATCTTAAGTCACAGTGAAATGTAAATATTCAAAAACATTTAACCTACTGATGCCTCAGTTAATGTAATTTTATTGGTATCTATTTTTATTTTGAAATTTACCAGTAGCTGCTGCATTTCCCACCCTCAGCTTATACTCAAGTCAATATATTTTCCCTGTTTTTGTGGTAAAATTAGGTGCTTCGGCTTATATTCAGGTCAGCTTATATCCAATTATATATGATAGTCTATTTCCTGAATTTTCTGAAGTGAAGTGCTTTGAATGCGATTTTCCTGCTTCTTGGCAGAATGGGGTTGGACTGGATGGCCCAGAAGGTCTCTTCCAACTCTATGATTCTATGATTTTCTTCACAAATTTGCTTCTTTTCTGTTCTGTCACTCACATTCCTCTTCTCATATGTGTGATTCACTCTTGTCTGTGTCCTTCTTCCTGGCAGATAACTGGAAGAGAATGAGCATCTGTGTGGATGGGACCTACGAAGCGAGTTTTACCCAGAAACTAAATCCACGTGGAGAAGAACAATTCCAGGCAGAACAGCAGTTGGGAAGCAGTGACTCTACACATGGGCTTCTCACAGAAGAGAAGCCTAATGAATATCAGGAATGTGGAACACGGTTCCCCGAGATAACCATCCTTTTGTACGACCAGAGAGTCCCCGTGGGAGAAAACCCCTTCAAATGCACTGAGTGTGGGAAATGCTTTTCCCAGAATTCCTATCTTGTGAGGCACCAAAGGGTCCACACAGCAGAGAAATCATACAAATGCCTGGAGTGTGGGAAGTGTTTTCCTTGGAATTCCTACCTTGTGAGGCACCAAAGAGTCCACACGGGAGAAAAAGCGTACGAGTGCCAGCAGTGTAGGAAATGCTTTGCTTACAAGTCAGACCTTGTGAGGCACCAAAGGGTTCACACAGCGCCAAAATCTTATGAATACCAGGAGGGTGGGGAACTTGTGCCTCATCAGAGACACCGTGTTGCACAGAAACCATTCAAGTGCCAGGACTGTGGGAAATCTTTCACTTTAAGCTCAGCCCTCGTGAGGCACCGCAGCATCCACACAGGAGAGAAGCCCTTCAAATGCCAGGAATGCGGAAAGTGTTTCGCGAAGACGTCAAACCTTCTGTACCATCAGAGAGTCCACACGGGGGAGAAGCCATTCAGATGCACAGAATGTGGGGCCTGCTTTGCTCACAAGTCACAACTGGTGACACACCAGCGACTCCATACGGGGGAGAGACCGTTCCAGTGTCAAGTGTGTGGGAAATATTTTGCTCAGACCTCGACCCTGGTTAGGCATGAGAGACTCCACACAGGGGAGAAACCATATAAATGCCAAGAGTGTGGGAAAAGCTTTGCTTCCAAGTCACAGCTTGTGATCCACCACCGAGTCCACACAGGAGAGAAACCCTACAAATGCCAGGTGTGTGAAAAATGCTTTAGCAACAATTCAGACCTTGTGAAACACCAGCGAATTCATACAGGGGAGAAACCATACAAGTGCGAGGTGTGCGGGAAATGTTTCAGCAGCAATTCAGACCTTGTGAAGCACTACAGAGTCCACACAGGGGAGAAACCCTACAAATGCAAAGAGTGTGGGAAATCATACAGCAACAATTCCGACTTTGTGAAGCATCACAGAATCCACACAGGAGAAAATGCACACAAAGGCCAGGGGCCTGAAGCACACACTAATAAAAATAATAATTCGGAACCTGTGAAGCCCCCAGAAGTGCATGTAGGAGAGAAAGAGTACAAATGTGATGAGTGTGGAAGAATATTTTATAAGACGTCAACACTTCTGTTACATCAAAGAACCCACACAGGGGAGAAACCATACCAGTGCCCAGTGTGTCTAAAATGCTTTGCTCGGACATCACACCTCGTGGCACACCAGAGACTCCATACTGGAGAGAAGCCATTCCGGTGCCAAGAGTGTGGGAAGTCGTTTGCGGAAAGTTCGAGCCTTGTGAAGCACCGTAGAGTCCACACAGGAGAGAAGCCGTACCAGTGCCTGGTGTGTGGGAAATGCTTTGGTCGGAGCTCGGCCCTTGTCATCCACCAGAGAGTCCACACCGGACAAAAACCATATCAGTGCCAGGAGTGCGGCAAATGTTTTGCTCAGAACGGTGGCCTCACAACCCACCAAAAAATCCACACTGGAGAGAAACCGTTCAAATGCCAGGAATGTGGGAAGTGTTTTGCTCTGAAGTCTGTCCTTCAGATGCACCAGAGAGTCCATACAAGAGAGAAATTCAAATGCCAGGAGTGTGACAGATCGTTTAATACCACTGCAGACCTTGTGAAGCATCAGCGGGTTCACACAGGTGAGAAACCCTTCCAGTGCCAAGAGTGTGGGAAAGCTTTTACCAAGTCCACCATCCTTCTGTTACATCAGAGGACGCACACTGGAGAGAAACCGCACCAGTGCCAGGTGTGTGGGAAGTGCTTTAGTTGGAAGTCTAACCTTGTGACCCACCAGAGACTCCACACAGGGGAGAGACCGTACAAGTGTAAGGAGTGCGGTAAATCTTTTGCAGAAAGCTCAAGCCTTGTGAAACACCGAAGGGTCCACACAGGAGAAAGACCATACAAGTGCCTGAAGTGTGGGAAGAGTTATGCTTACAGTTCAGACCTTCTCAACCACCACAGAGTCCACACTGGACAGAAGCCATACAAATGCCAAGAATGTGGGAAATGTTTTGCTGTTAAGTCCGTCCTGGTGATGCACAACAGAGTCCACACAAAAGAGAAACCATACAAATGCCAGGTGTGTGGCAAATGTTTCAGTAACCATTCAGACCTTGTGAACCATCACCGAATACACACGGGCGAGAAACCCTTCCAGTGCACAGCATGTGGGAAATGCTTTGCTCTAAGGTCGATTCTCGTGACGCACTATAGACTCCACACAGGGGAGAAGCCATTCCAGTGCCATGTGTGCGGGAAATCATTTGCACAGAGTTCAGCCTTTGTGAACCACCGTAGAGTCCATGCACGAGAGAAATTATTGCAGTGGCCCGAAGGTGGTGGCGAAAGTTTACCTTCTGTTTCACAACTTGTGGTCCCGAAAGAGAGCCCACCCAGGACAGAAACTGTGTAAATGCTGGGGGTATAGGAAATGTTTTTCTAAAAGTTTGCATCTTGTGTTTCACCAGAGATCTACATAGGAGAGTAACCACTCATGTAATCATAATATGGGAAGACTTTGGACTATCAAAATATCCTCACAGCTGCCAGAAATGTAGTAAATATATTCTTTATTAGGCAAGAAAACTTTGTTAAATTCCAGAGACTCACCCAAAAGAGAAATCGTGACTGCAGAAAATGTGAACGTTACAGAGGGACTAATGTAAGAATTACGGAGACAGGTTTCAATCCCTCCATATATGGGTTGAATTGTCTGTTTGTGCTTCTGACATCACTGTGGGAGAAAAAGTAACAAGGCGGGTGCTGCTAGATTCTGCTCCAGGTCCTGTGTTGTTCAGTATTTTTAGAAATGACTTAGATGATGGAATAGAGAGTGAGACGATCAGTGTTTCAAACCATGTCAGATTTGGGGAAGAGGCAAGGGGGATGGATAGATAACAGACTTCATCCTTCATTAGACCAAATCAGAATTCAAAATAATTGTGACAGAATAGAGAACTGGACCAAAACTGAGAAAATAATTATCAAATAAGTACTGTGACCTATTAGAGTTTGGCACAAGAAATCAGGTGCACAAATATGATTCGTACAAGTGTCAAGCTCCTGGAGTCAATGTTGACCACAAAAAATAAATAAATGAACAAATAGTGTGAAATTAACTAAACAAAAAGAAAACAGTGTAAATTATTATTATTATTACTTCCAACATTTGTACCCCGTCCTTCTCACCCTCCGAAGGGGGACTCAGGGCGGCTTACAACGGCAACAATTTGATGCCAACACATACAGAATACATAATATGTCACAACATATTAAATAAAATCATTCAGTTAAAATCCATTTAAAAACATTATTCACAACCATGTAGCTAAATCCAATCCAATTCAGTGTCCAAAGACTTTGTCAGAGCCTGTCCATTGGCAGTTCATGTAAACATTACAATCGCTAACAAGGCTCCTCCCCAATGCCTGGCCCCAGAACCATGATTTAATCTTAATTTAATCATATCCATGATTGAATTATATCCTGCATCAACAGTAATATAGTGCTTGGATCAAGGGAAATACAGCAGAGTCTCGCTTATCCAATAGGTATGGATAGAGTCGCATCAGATAACTCATTGCTTGTAGTGATTTTGTTAAAATTACATTTTTGAAGCGATATCGAAGCTTTTTTAAAAACCAGAAGTCTCTTTGCCCTTCCAAAGCTTTTTCCACCATTTTTGTTATGACTCAGGAATTGAGTTGGAAATGAACCAGCTTTTCCCCACTTCTGGTCCCTGGCCTCAGCTCAAGCCAGAGAAGCCAGTTTTAAAGCCAGAGAAGGAAGGAATTTCCTCCGCTTGCTTTTCCCCGCTTCTGGTCCCTGGCCTCAGCTCAAGCCAGAGAAGCCAGTTTTAAACCAGAGAAAGAATGAATTTCCTGGCCTCGACTCAAGACAGAGAAGCCAGTTTTAAACCAGAGAAGGAAGGAATTTGCTCGCCTTGGCTCAAGCCAGAGAAGCCAGTTTTAAACCAGAGAAGGAAGGAATTTCCTCTGCTTGCTTTTTCCCACTTCTGGAGTAAAACAACTACTTTCAAAATAAGGACCACCCAATGAAACAGGAATTAACACTTTCAAACCATTAACGAAAGGATTTGGAAATCTCAAGTTTTGAAAAAAAAATTCTGTGAAAATTGGAATTGATTTTAAATCGAACCACATCTGAAACGAGTTTTGAACAATTTTTTTAAATCAACCAAGCTTACTATCCAACATAAACGGCCCGGCAAAATGTTGGATAAGTGAAAATGTTGCATAATAAGCAGGGGTTAAGGAAAAGTCTATTAAACGTCAAATTACATTATGATTTTACAAATTAAACACCAAAACATCATGTTTTACAATAAATTGAAAAGGCATTTCAATACACTGTAACTTTATGTAGGAATTATTGTATTTACGAATTTAGCAAGAAAACGTCACATTGTATTGAAACAGCTGTGGAACCGGCAAGGATAATACAGTGTTGGATAATACAGAATGTTAGATGAGTGAAGGTTGGATAAGCGAGACTCTACTGTAACTACCATTCCATTTTGCTTTAATTCACCATCACCTAGAATATTATTTCTCGTTCTGGACATCACAGTTTCAGAGAGATATCGAGAAGTACTTAGCTTCTGTATGTAGGAAAGGCAAAGAGGTGATATGAGAGCTTGAAATACCCAAAGTGTCTGTTGCCCTTCATAGATGGCTGGACCCAAACCACTGGATTCAAATTACAAGAAAGGAGACTCTGGTTAACAAATGGAAGCTGGGAGTGTCTAAGAGGTATTGTTCACTGGAAAATAGTATTTTAATCAACATGAATTGGCTGTAGTTTCAGTAGCAAGTGGTTAGCCTAGATGGGAGGCCCATTCCATTTATATAGAATTGCACATTTGGGAGGGATCTGCACATTTTATCTAATGCAAGGAAACCATGGTTTAGAACATCCTTAACAAACAACCATTTTTAAAAATGCTATTAAAATTAAATGATATTAAGCTGTTTATGATCCATTCTGTCTTGTGGGATTTCAGTTCTGCGAGGAAGAAAAGTACTAGCCCCGAGTCCCGTTTTTCAGGAAAGGTAAAGGTTTCCCCTTGACATTAAGTCTAGTTGTGACCAACTCTGGGGTGCGGTGCTCATCTCCATTTCTAAACTGGCTGGAATTGAAGCAGGCCAAAACACCTGGAGACCCACAGGTTGAGAACCACTGCACTAAGGTATCATGACACACAGTTTGGAAAGCTCTGACCTAGAGATTCCTAGAGAAATGAATGGCGGAAGTTGACCATAGAAGTGTGAGTAGTCAAATCCCACACAGTCACAACCTCAAATACAGAGAGACACTTGTATTCCTGCCATGTTTTTGACCATTTTAGATGCAAATTAAAGTCCTTTTGCGCTGTTGTAGGTTTTTCAGGCTGTATGGTCATGTTCTAGAAGCATTCTCTCCTGATGTTTCACCTGTATCTATAGCAGGCATCCTCAGAGGTAGTGAGGTCTGTTGGAAACTAGGCAAGTGAGGTTTATATATCTGTCGAAAGTACAGGCTGGGAGAAAGAACTCTTGTCTGTTGGAGCTAGTTGTGAATGTTTCAGGTGGCCACCTTGATTAGCATTTGTTGGATAAGTGAGACTCTGCTGTGTTTCCCTTGATCCAAACACTAAAAACTGCCAGGCCATCAAATGCTAATCAAGGTGGCCAATTGAAATATTCACACCTACCTCCAAGAGACAAGAGTTGACAGTTTTTAGGTGTGGCTTCTTACTGCCTGGGGGAATCCTTTGTTGAGAGGTGATTAGCTGTTCCTGATTGTTTCTTGTCTCGAGTTCCCCTGTGTTTGAGTTTTGTTCTTTATTTACTGTTATAATTTGTGAGTTTTTAAATACAGGTGGCCAGTATTTTCATGGTTTCTTCCTTTCTGTTGAAATTGTCCACATGCTTGTGGATTTCAGTGGCTGTGTAGCCTGATATGGTAGTTGTGAGAGTGGTCCAGCATTTCTGTGTTCTCGGATAATATGCTGTGTTCAGGTTGGTTCATCAGGTGCTCTGCTATGGCTTACTTCTCCGATTGAAGTAGTCTGCAATGCTTTTCATGTTCCTTGATTTGTGATTGGGCATTGCTGCGTTTGGTGTCCTTATATATATCTGTCCAGACAAGAAACAATCAGGAATACCTAATCACCTCTGAACAAAGGATTCCCCCAGGCAGTAATAAGCCACACCTAAAAACTGTCAGGCCATCAAATGCTAATCAAGGTGGTCAGTTAAAACATTCACACCAAGCTCCAACAGACAAGAGTTCTTTCTCCCACCTGGGACTTTCCACAGATATATAAACCCAATTTTCCTAGTTTCCAACAGACCTCACAACCTCTGAGAAGGCCTGCCATAGATGCAGGTGAAACGTCAGGAGAGAATGCTTCTACAACATGGCCATACAGCCTGAAAAACCTACAACAACCCAGTGATTCCGTCCAATACATCAAAGTCTTTTTAACAACAAAAACGTTATGGAACTTATTTTCTGTCTCAAAAAATGCCTTTCCTAAGCATAAATTAGTTGTACTGGCTTTGTTTAGGACCAATCTTGGTTACTAGTTTGTGCTCATGTGCCCTTATATCAGGGTTGGGCAGAAATGTAGGCCATATATGTCATTAAAATAAAACACCTACACTAGAATGTCCTCAGTTCCCTTAGAAAAGTGTGGGTGGACAATTTTACTGTGCTTTCAGGTGCCTGGGCCATGTGAATGAATTGTCGCCAGTGTAATCTGGCTTTATGGGAGGCTGTATATAATGGTTGTGTTGGCATGTGATTGTTCTTTTCCTTTCAACTGTTAACAGTGAAGTGCTTGTTATTATGTCCCGTACTCCCTGCCCCACCCCCATTTTAAAAATGCCCTTATCACCCTCCATTTCTTTTGTATTGTTAGGATAATAAAACCCATACAAGACACAACATGTGTTCACTTGAGAAAATGCCTGATGAAAAGTTTTTGACTTATCTAAAGGAGAGTCATTGAATGGCTGTGTTCAGGTCAAGCTGCCTTTTGGTTTGTTGGGATTGGTTCTAGGATCCTTCCTGAAATAAAATAACATCTGAGCTCTGCAAGTGCAGCATTTTCCCGAATGAAGAACAGAGTGATTGAGGACGGGACATCCGTAGGGAGACCAAGGTGCTTGTTTATAAAGCCATTGTCCTCCCAACCCTGTTATACGCCTGTGAAACATGGACTGTCTGCAGACATAATACACAACTGGAATGATTCCATCAGCATTGCCTCTGAAAAATCCTGTAAATTTCTTGGGAAGACGGGGGGACAAATTTCAGTGTGCTGGAAGAAGCAAAGACCACCAGCATTGAAAGTGATGCTCCTCCACCTTTAACTCTGCTGGACAAGCCATATTGTCAAAATGCTCGATCACCGCCTCACAAAGCAGCTACTCTACTCCGAACTCAAGAACAGGAAATGGAATATTGGTGGACAGGAAAAGAAATTTAAAGATGGGCTTAAAGCCAACCTCAAAAATTGTGGCATAGACACCGAGAACTGTGAAGCCCTGGCCCTTGAGCACTCTAACTGGAGGTCAGCTGTGATCAGCAGTGCTGTGGAATTTGAAGTGGCACGAATGGAGGGCAAAAGAGAGAAATGTGTGAAGAGGAAGGCAT